TTAAACTTAAGTAAAATTCTGTGAATGAGGCTGTCCCAATGCACAATAAAAAATCAATCCTTAATTTATTTTAGATTGCCCACATAATTTTGTCAAGCCACTGGAAAGACTCCTGCTAAAAGTGTCTCACATTTTGGTGGTATGCGGAGAAGAGCTTTATAGGGAATCTAGACAGACTGTACGTAAAGCTTACATTATATCCATCCATAATATAATCTTTGATGTATTAGGACCGAAATATGAAACCAAGTAAAAGAGTCAACTTTGATGGCAACTTGCTTTTTGCTTCTCATCAGTAATGCAAGGTCCTGCTATTAAGAAACTGTTTGTGGCTTTCTTTTTCCCTTGAAGGAATCTGGAGAAATCTTCCCCAACTTTTTTTATTCAGCTTTAGATTATGTAACATACATGAAGTATTCACCATAACTGTCATAGAACTAGATTAATCAATACATGATTGTAATGAAAAAAAAAATGTACTTAAGGTTGTAAGGTCCCTTTTGTTTATATCACCAGACCTCTTTTAGCTTTTGACTAGGTTCATAAGTAACTTGCTTAGTCAAGCCTTGCAGAATAAACCACAGTTACCAGGGTTAACATAGGTTGAGTCTTAAGCTAAAAGCAAACAAATCACTATTATGTTATTTATTTGTGAATTTGAGCAATCTGAGCCTGTTCTTTCAAAAGTCCCATTGAATTTCATGGGATGAAAAGGTAAAGTCAAACTCAGTTCCTGTTGACTTTATAGATATGACTATTTTATTGGGGGGAGTTTTTGGAAAAAGTACAGATGAGTTTGGTGTGCCTTCTTCCAGAAAACAGTAAACATTTCCATTCCACACATTTGGAAGACAGCAGGTTGAAAAAAAGCTGCTATTTAGGATCTTGGAAGTTTTATAGATCACAGTCATAGGGGTAAAAGTAAATCCTGTTTTAAAATGTTATCTATAAAATGCCTGTCCAGACAGACATTAATCCTTCCTGTTAGAAGAATAACTTAAATGAATGGAAAAGGAAGAATCATTTTCTTTTGCTTGCTTTCAAAATCTCTTTTCTATGAAGTCCATAGTGGAACAGAAATTATGAATCAAGCATACTCAGCCTTCCATCCTTCCGAGATCAGTAAAAACGAGGACCAAGACCGTTGGGGGCAATATGCCGACTCTGTAAATTGCTTAGAGAGGGCTGTAAAGCACTGTGAAGCAGTATGTAAGTCTAAGTGCTGTTGCTATTATGTCAGAATTCAGTTCTCACCATCTGCTTTGCATTCAAAGCATTGGATGCACTGAATCTTTCCTAAACAATGACTGTTTTTCCAAAACTCCCTGAGGATCCATTACCAAACAGGAATTTTAATCTGATAGATGCTATCCAAAAGAAGAAGAAGAACATTCTGGTTTCTGTTGTGGGTTAGTTGTATGATCATTTCACCAATTTGTTTCAAATAATCATTTCATATGTGTCTTTCTCTTTTGCTTCCTGATCTGGTATTTTCCCACTTATGGAAAACATAACATGGCATTTTACAGCTCAATCATGGGTAATAAACACAACGGTAAACATAGGTGGAGTACTAACTACATGGAAATCTGTGGAGGAAAAAAAGGCGTAAATTGCTGCCAAGATCCAGAGGGATTAGCTGGCTCTTCTTAGGAGTCTGTGTTTTTTTCTCCTAACTTCCTCATTGGAAAGAGCTGCTCTAGAACCTTCACCTTTTTCTACCTTTATGAAACCCACAAGACTATTTTCTGGATTTGACTCTGTCCTGAACTTTGTGTTGCTATTTCTCAAAAGTTGTTTTTTTTTTTTTTACCTGAGAAAGAGACTATTTTTCCTTCTTTCTTTTCCGTTTGCTTGAAATGTTCCCCATTTTTCTTTCCTCTTGGTGGTGCTTCTGATCCGAGTTGCTTGTTGAAGATGATATTGATGGTATTATTTTTTTGTTCATCTCTTTCCATAATTCTGCAGCTTTCCAGGCTACTTATACTTCTAATATTAAAAGGCCAAAGGGAGGATTTTCCATATTATGTCTAATCTTGAGATTGTCATTAAGTGTGGCAAAAAGTAGATATTGCAGAGATGTTTTTACAATGAAAGAATTCACTGTAGGGTTGGGCAAACTTTTAAAGTGACACTTCACATTCATGGTGAAAGCACCTTAATGAAGAGAACCATCTCTCTGCTTCTAAGCCATGAAATGTCCATGCCACTTCACTTTGCTTAACTGAATAACAGAATAACAGAGTTGGAAGGGATTTTCAATGTCTTCTAGTCCAACCCCCTGCTCAGGTAGGAAACCCTATACAATTTCAGACAAATGGTCTTCTTAAAAACTTCCAGTGATGGAACACCCACAACTTCTGGAGGGAAAGATGTTCCAATTATTAATTGTTGTGTCAGGAAATGTCTCCTTAGTTCTAGGTTGGTTCTCTCCTTGATTAGTTTCCATCCATTGCTTCTTCCTTCAGGTGCTTCAAAAAGGTAATTTCTGTGCATGCACAGAAATCACTTTTCTAGAAATGAGGCAGCCAGTTCAGGTTGATTAGCTTTGCCTTAATCCTTCTAGGGATTGCTTAAGGTTCTAGAAGAGTAATTTTAGCTAAGGTACAGCACATCTGTGCACAGCTATAATTCATAGACTCATCTTGGCAACTTCGTAGTTTAAAAATGCAGATGGGCAGTGTAGGAATGTGCCAAACAAACAAACAAACAAACAAACAAATACCATATTAATATATAATTCACAATTTTGGAAACCAGTGAGGGTTATTATGCTTTAAACCCACCACTTTAAATCAGATAGTTTTTTACAACTATCTTTGGAATAGAAAGGTATATGCAAAATATTGATTTTTCTACCAAACCTCTGATAACCACAATTTTTTTTAAAAAATCAAAAACCAAAACCCCAACTACCAAAAATTATCTTACAGCACCACCTTGTGCTTGAACGTGTAGAAACAAGTGAAGAATGCTCTTTCTCCTCTAGTGGCAATTAAGCACTGAAGAAAACTAATTAATTTAGTTCAAGTCTCTTGTTGCATGAATCTACTACATAAGAAGTATTAGGAAGAGCTGGGATTGTATGGACAGCTACTGAGATAAAGGTTGCTTCTTTCTTTCTTCACTGCTTCTTTGGTATACAACAACAACAACAACAACAAATCATGTCAATGACCAGATAATACAATTCACAATTCCCTTATTATGTTTTATCTCTGAAGGAAACTCTGAGTTTTGATGTTGTAACCCCTTCTCCTTTATCACTGGAATAAGGATCAAAACAGTTGCATTACATTTCTGAAATCTTAAAAAGTTGGTTTTGCTCTGTAAAAAAAAATATCCAAGATCCTGTCAAAAAAGGGCTGAAAGTTCAATATCATGCCTCATCATACTATAATTGCATCATTGGCCACACCCATGCAAACTTTGCTGGACATGTCTTGTCATGAAAGTGCTTTTTCTACCAGCTGCAAAATCTGTGCCATAGGTTATTACTGCCTGAGTTCTATGTTCTGCTTAGGCATAAATGTTAAGTCTAAATAACAACTGAGAATTGCCGTGTTCCATAGCTTATTATTAACTGACAAGAAATGGAACTGGAGGGATACAAACTCTCTTTTTTAAATGTCTTCTTTTAAGGAAGACATTTAAATCATATCCTATGTGAGCAGAATAAATATAGATGACAGCTAGGTAGCAATAAAGAGCTTTTTGTGTTGGTTTCTTACCATCTAGTGGTTTTTTGAAGTTTTGCAGACTGGATATAATGTGCCTAATACCAGGCTCATTTTCAGTTCTCACTAACATACCATGGTAACCATTTCTAAGGGATGGCCTATGTCGTGTTGCCTCTGTCTTGTCTCCAGTCCATTATGGAGGCAACTTCAATTTGTGTTTAATGCTTCCAATTTAAAGGAGTATTTCCTTCCACCCCCATTACAAATGTTGCCAGGGACCTAATCTACAACCAACAACTCATCAATGAGTTGTTGATGATGCACTTACAAGTTTGGATCTGCCCAACTCCTGCTGGCCATTTTAGGCTGCTGCAAATATGCCCCCTTTCCTCTGGACACTGGGCACTGACACCCACAGGCCATTTTGGCTTGAGTTAGAGGGAAGACTAGGCATCTGGATTTTGCAAAAGCATCTGCCTGGAATGTGAGAGCCAAGCATGATGCAGCTGCTCACATACTCAGGCACAGTACTTTTCTGAAAACATGGTTAGACCTGATTTTTAAACTCAGATTTAATGCATATTTGAAAAGTCTGTGTTTTAGAAACAGGAATAATGGTGCCTCAAATAAATGTGTTAAAGTTGTTCCACTGTTTTGCTAACAAGGGGTTTTGAGTGGCCATATTGTTGCTCTTTTTATTGCTTGAGGGAGCACTGGTTTTTGTGTGGTCCAAAGATTACTTTCTGGTGCTATTGGCTATTGGTCGCAGTGCTGCTTTTCCCTTCTTTATTGTTCCTATTCACTTTGCTCTACATTATTCAATGGGGCCTGTTTGTTAAATGACAGGTTGCATATGTAATGGAGTGCTGCACAGTAAACAATAGAGAGCAGTCTAAATGAACCTTGCCATCATCCCACCAAGCTTATGACCAGGAATTTGGGGCATTTCTGATCAAAGTTACAGGATAAAAAGTAATGGATAATTAGAAATGTGGGATGAACTAATTTTTGTAGCACACTTGTGAATCTGGGAGCTGAGAACATCTTGAAAACCTCTTTCCACCTTGGACTCCTAAAATTTGATGATAATACTCAGTCAGTTACTGCATGCTTTCAAGTAACCATCTAGTCCTTGATTGGGATACTATGGAAATAATCTGAAACAGTCCATTGTCAGTCCAGGGATGAAAATTCCTTTCAATTAAATCATTGGGTCTGGCATGCATGTACTGTATGTATCGTAATTTTCCTATGGTCATCGTGGTTTTTTATTGTTTTATTGTTTCTCCAATTGTTTTTCAAAAACTGTGACAAATAAGCCACAATAAAAATCACCTTTATTTTCAACGTATATTTTCATCCTACATTTCATCCGAGATTTCAACAAGTCTGTAGAAATATATTAGCTTGTCAAAAACTATGTACTACTTTTCTGAAAGTGTGTACAATTGAAAAGTCAAAGTATAAAAAGCATAGAGAAGTAAATAATAGATTAATCAAATAAAATCAGCACAAAGCAGCAGCAATATCTGTGTAAAACTGTAAAAAAAGAATAAGTAATCAGAATAAAATGACCATCTCTGCTCAAAATAAAGAAAGAATAGATCTGAGCCTATTTAATATAATGGTGGAAATTGAGTTTAAACACATAATATGTACTAAAGAAAGGATATAGAAATAAGTTATTTGATGATAATGAATATTTTAGCCAGATATCACAAATTTATATTATAGAGATGTACAGAAGCATCACAGTAAGCTCCTATTCAGAAATCCAGAGTAATGCCTGTATCCTGCTACATTTAATTGGCATGTCATGAACATTTGCACTTCATATTGATAAAAGTGGCATCAGAAGAAAGCCACACATTTAATTTAGTCATGACTTACATTGAAGCTGGAATGCATACAATCAGTTGCCTGATCTATACAATACCAGAGTTTCCAATAGTAATCTGTCATTCTTGCATCAAAAAGGAGAGCAATCATATCCTTTGAATAATATTCCTGTTCCAATGTTTATTGTAATGAAATTAAACTTAAAAAAACTTATAAATTTGCTTTAATCCCCAAACCAATTTCAAAAATGAAGACTGAAATCTGGAATTGGCACTGCTATAAAAAATTAAGGATGACAGCATCTTTTGATTTTGGCAGGTATAAATGGTATATAAAAGCATGCCAACTGTAAGAGATCATTCAGTACTACAGTAATTCAATTGCACATTGCTGTCAAATGTTGCTACACATTAATTAGCAAGTATAAACTGCTATCCAGTTATACTGAATATTCAAACAATCATTTAAATACTGGAAAAGTTACCAAAAGTCCTTAATACTGAAGATAATTGTGGAGAACACATTGATTCTAGTAGTCAGCAAAAATTTTAATAGTTGATTATTCCTCCCAAGGCTCTCAGTTGTTAAATGGCTCTTTGCTGTTTGTCTAGAATGTTCCTGATCATTTCACTAGATATTTACTTTAGAATAACAGAAGAATAGATTTCTTGTATGGGGTGAATGCATTGATTGAGTCATCTATCAAATAATATCATGTGTTAATTATGAATTATAAAATAGCTAAGTTCTATTAAGTTTACAGTTCTAACTCTGGATCCAATTTATTGGAGACCATAGTGGACTGGACAATCTAAGTTAGCATTTTTGATTCTCTTTCTTTCCTGTTATGCTTGCAAACTCAACAAATCTTTTGTAGATTTTCTCCTGCCCTGCCTTTTATTTAGAGAAGGAGAGATGGGGGGGAGGAGGGGGGTGTTGCATGACTTTGTACACCACCCCTTTCTTTGTTCTGTATGCTGCATTTTAAGTTTTTCTTTCTGCTTTTGAAGAATATCTTCCCTTGCTTTTTTTTAATGTGGCCAAGTAGTTATATCTTTTATAAAGTTATTTAGATGCTCTAAACCTAGATTTCCCCAAATCCTCTACCAACCTGCCTGTTCTCCCGATTTACAGCTGGCATGCCAAAAACAAGGCACCACTCTTCACCATTTGTATAATTTGCAATTAAGTTTCTGGGCTTGTTAAGGGCTTACATTTCTAGAAAATAAAAATGGTGGTTAACTAAAGAAAGAAGAATAGGTGGTGAGAAGTTTGTAGGAGGTCTTGGAAAGGATGGTAAGAAGGATCCTAATTCGGTTGCTTTCAATGGGTGCTTTGTGATGGGCCACTTCTAATGTATGGCAGCTGCTTTATTTTGTAATAGTGTCTGCAATTAAAATTTTGAACAAATTTTACCTCCCAAAATTTGAATGCTGTTGTTCCAATTTCATTTAAAATTTTCTTGCATTCCTGCCCCAAATATTGTTTTCCTGGATTTTATCAATCTCAGTAACAATACATAAAGAATGCCAGGATTTCATGCCTGATAAAACCTTTTATTTATCTTTAACATCACTTTGAAATAGTATAAAACAGCCTGTGGTCTGCAGGTACATTCAGGGATAATCTACCCAAATTCATTATTTCCATAAATATCCATATCTACAGTATGTGCTTGTCCTCCTGACAGCTGATATAACCCTTTGGTTATATATTTGGTTAGGATATAAGTGCAATTAGCTGAACTGTGTGAGTTAAGCTCAGGCTATAATACATTCATGATTGGGAATTTCAATTACCAATATATGGATATTTTTTTACTCTCTGCATCTGTTGAAATACAAAGATCTGGAATGTTGACCTTGACTTTAGAGATGCATACAATTTTGAAAGAAATTCAACAACAACTTGTGAGTCAACCATGCTTTAAAATGAGGCTCGTATAAAAGAAATCTTCTATCCTGTTAGTGAAATTGAAGGAGACCCGTACCAAATTTCAGCTGAGAAGCAAAATGGATAGAATTGATATGAGAAATTCAATGGCAATAGCAGCAAATTAGACTCTTTAAGGAAGGCAAAGTAATTTCTTTTGATTTCCTTCAGCTTATATGGCTTATTTTGTAAAGAAAAAAAAAGTCTGCTTTATTTTTCCCTTGCCGTATCTTCATCCAACAGAGGAACAGTGAACTCTGCTTCTCTCCTCATATCTGGGTTGCACTTGAAACTGGAAGTGTGCTTAGAGGTATCAGTATGATCTGCCTGGCATGCCTAAATTACAGGATATGAACATAAATAGCAAAATTAACACCCACATTACTAATGGAACAACATTATACAGCTCTAATATTTTCTTCAATATTTTACATGTAGTTTCTCTTGCTGAGCTGTGGGCAAATTTTAAGAACAGTGTGAAGAAGTCTCAGGGCACCTAAAAAAAACCCTCATCCATGTGTTGGGGCACAAGATTTTTATAAACCAAAGCCTAATTTCTCTTTTGGTCCCTCATCTTTGTTCTCACCTGCTGGACAGGTCACCCCCAGTGCAGCCTTTTTTGATGCAAATATAGGCAATATGTTGTCATGGAATTAAACAGTTAACCAGTAACTCCTTGATATATTTGAGGGCTGGTCTGATTTAGGAGTTGACCTCTTTCAGGGGCTAAGGATGAGAGGAATGAAATAAAAGGAGAAACCATTCCCCCCTCTTACAATTGGGAGAGATAGAGAAAGATATAAACTAGGAGCATACCAAGTCAAGCCCTAGTTTCTGTTAATCATGATTTGTTGAATATACAGAAATACCTAGGTTTCTTCTCCACAAAATAATAAACTACTGATGCACAATATTTGAACCTCTCAAATATCTCTAGCTAGAACTGCAGGCAGCTATAATTTACCAATTACATCTATAACATGTCTTTGATTATATATTAGGCTATTGGGCAAAATTTACTAATTGCAATTGCTGGGCTCATACAGCTAAACTAAAACCAAGAAAACTATGTTAATGGCCTAGCATGACGTATAATTGTAATATTTTAACTGACGTCTCTCTTTCTGATAAATAGCTACAATATAACCTCTATTAACATTTAAGCCAAGTCTGCCTAGCTGAATCTGTGCATTTTATGCAAACTGTGGATAAAAACAGTTTGCATTGGAGTGTCTTCCAACCAAAGAACGACAGTATTTATTTTTTTTGAAATAGTAATAAGTTTTAGAAAGAAATTGTCATCTTTACAACAAGCATACCAAAATTCCTAGTCCCAAGCTACCAAATGTTTTGAAAGGAGGAAGAGTTTTTGTACAGTAGTGAGACATGTTCACTAGGAAAATGTTAGTTTGCAGGTGATAAATGTTAGGTTTGCCTTCTGTTCCAACATCATCTCTCATTCCCTACATGGGACTATTGGAAAAGATGCTTAGACCAGGGCTTTTCAACCAGTGGTACGGGTACCACCTGTGGTACATTGGCACCTGGCAGGTGGTACACGACCATCCTAGAAAAGTGGTAGTGGGGGAGGGGAATGAGCTGAACCGGTGGCAGCATCGCACAAGCCTGAGTGAGAGAGGGCTGGAGCTGCAGGGCTGTCAGGGCTCAGTGGAAGTGCCAGGATCAGCACCAGGCTCCAGCTGGAACTCGGCGCTGATCCTGGTGCTTCTGCTGAGCCCAGAAGAAGCGCTGATCAGCTGGAATGTTGCAGCATCTCCAGGGTCTTGTGATTTACATTCTGATGCTTGGCAACTGATTCATATTTATGACGGCCACAGTGTCCCAGGGTCATGTGAAGTGACCAAAACCTGCTGCAACCACCCAGCAGACGGGGGGGGGGGGAATAAAAACCAAACACCCCCTACCCCACCCCCCCTGCCAATCCTCAACAGAAATGCTCACAATAATGAAAACCTCGGATAGGAGGAAGAGCGCGGCCGGGCAGGCAGGTAGGTGTCTTGCTCAGCTGTGCCTTGGGGGGCACTTTTTTCAGTGCCATTGTAACTTCGAACAGTCACTAAGCGAACTGTTGTAACTCAAGGACTACCTGTACTTTATCACTTTTTTCCTTTTGGGGGGGGGTCATCCAGTTTTTGACACCTTGCTAGGCGACTGGTGGTACTTGGATATTGCCATATCCTAAAAGTGGTAAAATGGGTGAAAAGGTTGAAAAGCCCTGGCTTAGCTCACACTGTCTCTCATACTATGGAACTGAGAAAACTTGGAAGGAAGGAAGGAAGGAAGGAAGGAAGGAAGGAAGGAAGGAAGGGAGGGAGGGAGGGAGGGAGGGAGGGAAGGAAGGAAGGAAGGAAGGAAGGAAGGAAGGAAGGAAGGAAGGAAGGAAGGAAGGAAAGAAGGGCAATTATAATTTATTATGAGGCCTTCTTCAATAGTTAGGGAAAACGTTAGATTCCTAGCATCCTTCATCCCAAGAAAAAATTACTCTTTCTGAAAAGAATCAGCAGCAAGGACATTGTTCACGGTCCCCTGACATGTGTGCTAATAAATATGGTGCAAACCTAGAACAGAAAAAAAGGATTGTTTGCAAGGCTCACTTACTGCTCCTTCTGCCTCAGCCAGTTGGCATGCCAGAAGGGAAAGCAGCTGCGAAAAGGATGGTCTTTTTCTGGAGTCCAAAGCCCAGCAGGAACACAGTAGGACATATCTGCCAAAACAACATAAAGGAAGGAAGGGAAAATGCAGAGCTATTTTCCCAGCATTTTTTATATGACAAGACCAATGAGAGATATATATGTCACAAATATTGTGGTATTAGGCAGAGTTAAAAGAACCTAGGATACGAACATCTATTTCATACAGGATTAATAAATGTTTACAAATATGAAGCATCAAAAAACAGAATATTGAAAATTAATATTATGTTTTAAATTTTACTGTTAAGTATGATAAGTTAGAACCTGCTGTTCTCCAACTCTTGATTGACTACTATGGACTGATAATTGCATATAGTGATAGAGATTGAGATGGATCTGAGTAATATCCAGAGAAACATTTTTGATCTAAACATATCTACAATCTTAAGTATTCTCTTCCTGGTTGAATTGTCTCAGTTGTATCTTGCAAATATTTATTTCCTATATTTATTTCTACAAATTATGTACTAGGTATTTTTATCTTGTGCAGATGATGGTTAAAACTGAGTGGCAATCTCCACTGGACCCCTGTCATTTCAGAAGTAATATTGTGGCACTAAAATTATTCCTTAACAAACGTAGGCTGATATATGTATGTTTAGATTCTAGTGTAAACAGATGCTACACACCAATGCAAAATATTGCAATTGTGGGCTAATTTAAAACTCACACATTTACTGAGTATATTGCAGTAGTCAATAAACTACAATATCACAATAATTAGAAAAAGGGATTGCTTTTCTCTTTTCTGATTGCTGTTTGTAGAAGTCTAGCAAGGGCAGAAACACTAATGTAATTGTGCAGAAATTAAAAAGAAAGATAGTAATAATATGATAACTACTGTATATAACCTCTAAAAATGGTTTTCTTTCTATAAATCTTCCCACTACTTGAAAAAAAGTGGGGGGAGAGGATATTCCAAAACACACTCCCTATTTGTAAAACATTTTCACTTGTCAGAGCTATAATAATGCTATATTGGAATTAGAAACATATAGAAATTGCAATTGAGAAAAAAACCCTACAAATAAATAAAAATGGTTGAAAAAATGGAATGTGGAGGAAGAAGTAGCATCAGGGTAAATAATTTACTATATACCATCAAAATAATCAAATAATATACTATGAGAAAAAAATTGCTAGTAAAAATATATGCTGAAAAGAAAGGAAAATTTAAAAAAAAATCTTGCCTATTTTACCCTAGTTCTTTTTGCCTTAGTGTTAAGTGAGAACTGCAAAGTCTACAAAAGAGCATTCACCTTAAAAGACCTAATGCATAAGAGGGATAAGGAAAAAGAAGGATAAAATATTTGTCCTTCAAGGAATAAACAGAATCAGAAGGTCTCTGACTTTCTTCAGGCATATCGAAATAGTCTCCTTATCCTGGTGGAAAGTGTAAATTTGCAGAGGACATGCAACTAACTGTATCTGATTCTCCACTGGCATTTGAGGCAGTCAAAGAATGACTTTCCGTGGTCCATTCTAGAAGTGGTGTTTTTGAATCTGTCCAATATCCAGAGTTGCATGTGGGCAAATGTATTAATGCTCATGGAAAAAATGGCTTAATTAACCACATTCAAACCTGTGATTTCAATTGTTTCTGTTGGTTTCTTGTGGGAACATCACCTTCTACCTGGCCTCTGACCTGTTCTCGCACCCCTAATTCCTCTTTTGGTTATGAAACCAAAAGAGTTTCAGCAGCCCTTCTTCACGCTTTTTCAAATAGGGAAAAATCATTCAACTGGTCAAGCTGGAAAGTATAAAACCTTGATTAGCTTCTAACTGGCTTAATGTATACAATTGTCTTTTTTACCATTGTAGGCAATGCCCTTCCTAGTGGTTGTCTATGGAGATTTTCAGCCATCCAGGTCATAAATGTCCCCAAAATTCTGAGGATTCTTCTTGGATGAGAAATGAAACATCTTTGAAAGAAAGTTCAATTGCCTTTTGAAAAAAGCACTTTTAGAACTTCCTAGTAGTTGTTGCTTCTAGGAACCCTATTTTCTCACTTTCTCTCCTCATGCCATTTTCTTAGTCATTTACAGCTCTAATATTGAACCTCACAACTAAACCCCTTTCTCAGCCTTAAACTCTGCAACAACACTTACCCAGTGCTCCCTTAGCACAAGGGAACTGCTAAATGTCAGCCAAAACATATAAATGCCTCTTTGCTGCCATCTAGAAGTCACTAAACTCCAGGATGAGAGGGGAACGTGCCAACGTGTGGGATCAGAGAGATGTACAGGAAGTCCTCAGACTACGACCATAATACTTCTTGTGTAGAAGTATCCTTTCAGAAAAATATAGTTTTCCAGAAAAACACTCAACAAGGGTCAATTGCTTGTATCTCCTTTGAAGGATTAGTTTTTTTGGCCTATATGGACTACTGCACAGTGGTGTCTAACTGTATCCAAAAGTAGTCCAAGACAGTCACAGATAACAGTGTAGTTAAAAGAAAGGAAATGAGCAGGTGCCACATGTCTTCTTACATTATATTCTGGGCAGCCCCACCTTTACCATTTATACCTAGAACTTACATTTCTTCTGTAGCATAAAACGGACGGTCCATCTTAAATCCATTTTGAATAAGCTTGTAGAATTTCTCATTAACTTGCATTCCGGGGTAAGGATTGATGCCTAAAAAAAAAAAGTTGCAAAACAAAGTAATAATATTTTAAACAAGCTTCATTGAAGAAGCTTTCTTAATTTGCATAACCTTGCAGAGACGTCTGCAGAGTGTGATCAGAAAAGCCAAAGTGGTAATCATGGCAGTCCAATTGAAACTTTGCCTGCTTTTTATGTGTGTTGCATGTCATTTTTACTTTTTTGACCATTTCCTGCAAATATTCTGCAACCTGGACCGCATGACAGGGACTCACACAGAGCATACTGTATGTCTGCTGCTTAGATATTTAGAAAAAAATGACTATTCAATTATACATTAAAAACAAAATAAATGGAAAACCCAAAAGTGGTTAACAAAGATACAGTTCCAAGAACCTCTGGATAACATTTATGACAATTGAATAAAAGATGAGAAGGAATGATTTTTTTTCTTCTTAAAAAGATGTCTCTATTAAAGTATTCCAGATGAATACACGTCTTGAAGCTAAAAGCTCACATGCACACACTCCTTCTATACAGATAGGGCAATTTACAAAATGAAAATGTGCCGCCCACCCATCCCCATTTTGGAACTCTACTAGCAAGAAACAACATTATAAAGACATTGTTCGAGGTTGTTTAGATCTCTGAATGGAACCTAGTTCTGTTAAATCTCTGACTGGAAACTAGAGAACGTATTCAAGAACCTACCAAGAGAGAATATTTCCCAGAGTAAGATTCCATAAGACCAGACATCACTTTTAATTGTGTATATCCCTTCAAACAAACTTTCAGGGGACATCCATTTGACAGGTAAACGAGCCTGGTTAATAGAAAGCACAGAGAAGAGAGAGGTCATTTCCCCATCAAAGTATTCTCATATAAGGAGATCAACTGCAAAATCACATTGCTATTTAACTGCTTACCCCTGAGGAACAATCATCCCTCCTGTCAGCATCCATCAGATGGTAAAAATACTCTGGGTTACATGGGCACTCTTACATTCCTGTTGGACTGCTTTTGGAGGTTGGGATTTCAGATTTTGAATTAGGTTTTTATAATTAAGTAACCTTAATCTGTGAAGTGGTGCCTTGCAGAAGTGATCCAACTCTATTTGCTTTCAAGAGATACAGGTAGCCCTCAAGTTACAACAGTTTATTTTGTGACCGTTCAAAGTTAGAACAGCACTGATGAAAGTGACTTATGACTGTTTTTTACACTTGTGATGACCATTGCGGCATTCCCATGGACATGTGATCAAAATTCAGACACTTGGCAAACTGCCTCATATTTATGATAATTGCAGTGTCCTGGGGTCATGTGATACCCTTTTGCAACTTCCTGACAAGCAAAGTCAACGGGGAAGCCAGATTCACTTAACAACCATGTTACTAACTTAATGACTGAAGTGATTCATTTAACAAATGGGGCAAAATGGGGCAAAATTCATTTAACAAATGTCTCCCTTAGCAACAGAAATTTTGAGCTCAATTGTGGTCGTAGGTCGAGGATTACCTATACTTCCTAACATCTCTAGCTTTTAAGCTTTCATTGAACCCAAGTGCCCACTCCCTGGTTTTATACAACTCTAATTTCTCCCACTCACCAAAAGAGCTATGGGCACAAATAATCTCCTTTAGGATTATATGCCATGCATCTAATGAAGTGGCCTGTAATCTATGAAAACGTACACAATAATAAATATTTTAAATGCTATTAAGACTCTTTAATATATATGTAATTGAATTGCCTTATGTTCCAACATCATCTCTCATTCCCTACATGGAACTATTGGAAAACTTGAGTGCCAACTTTTGGCTGATTTCTCAGGAATCTGTAGATGTCTGAGGTTTCTAACTGCCTAACATCTTTCACCATTAACCATGTAATGTTGCAGTTCAACCACTATTTCCTTTTCTCTGAACTAACCTTTGCAAACCAAGGCGGTTTTAAACTTAATAATCTTTAGTAAAAAAAAAACCCAAAAACCCACACCCAACGATTTTACCTTCTTGCTGTGCATATCTGTAGTAAAATAAATTTGTACCTATGTGTAAAACTGATGGGGCAGTGTACATACAGCCTAACAATTTTCTAATGTGGAAGTGCTTTCCATATTACAAATCTCCAATTTTTATTCAAGTTCCAGGGAATGAAATAACATGCGCAGGGAATACTACATGGTTGTTGATGACAAGGGTGGAGATCTGCAACCATATTCTCACTGATAACTGGTTGATATCTATGGGAAACAGGATCTCGGAAATGATGAACAGCTGTTACAAAATAATTAACAATCAAGCAGCTATCTATATTTTTGTAAGCATAAGGCTAGAAAACAGGAGATTGTAAGTTCTTGTTCTGCTATAGGCACAAAGGTAGCCTAGTCACACACTCTCAGCCCTACGAAGGAGGCAATGACAAACTACACAGGGACTAGTTCAGGCATTCACCAATAATAAATATTAAAAATGTGGAGATATAGAAATGACATTTTTAGCTGAAACTGTGTGGTGATTATAAGTATTTAGTGCAACGATTACGGCACCAGGCTATAAATCAGGAAACTATGAGTTCTAGTCCCGCCTTATGCATGAAAGCTGACTGGTGACCTTGGGCCAGTCAGTCTCTCTCAGATCTAGGAAGAAGGGAAGGGCAAATTGCTTTTGAAACCTTGCCAAGAAACCTGCAGGGACTTGTCTGGGCAGCAAAAAATTGACTTGAAAGCACATACACATTTCTATCCAGCAAGCCAATTGAAGATGGAAAAGAAGTTTACCATATTATCACCCTTCCAAATCTGGATTTGGCTGCGCAAGATATTAGTAGTAATTTCATTTTTACTTTCAGATCTTTCACAGAAAACATTGGGAAGCATCTACAATAAACATCAACTTACATTTCCTCTGACAACATAGTTTGAATCATTCATTATATCCCTGGCAAGTCCAAAGTCACATATTTTGGCCACTTTCCCATAAGTGATTAGTATATTCCTGGCTGCTAGATCTCTGTGAACACACTGTCAAGAGAGAAAAGGACAGAATTTAATTTTGTGATTGTTTTTTAAAGTGTCTTTTCCCCACCAAATGCATACTGAAAGCATACTGTATTACTAAATAAGGTGTACGGTAGTAAGTTTTTTTTATGAAGTGCAGGAACTAATTGCCCAACAGATTATTTTTGCAGAAGTAAAGAGCACTTTACTTTGAAGTGAGAACTTTAAAAATATAATAACACAGAGACCAAAAGGTTAAAACAAGACATTACAGACAAAATCTAAGATGGTGCAAATACAGGCATTTCTTTGAGTGATTTTAAAAATGCTTCTTAAGATGTAAGAAAGGGCAATTAACAACTGACAACATCCTGCAATTATGCTTCAGTATGAACTCTGGATCCCCAAGAAACCAACCTGATTCATTTTTCTGCCTTCCACCTAACAAGGAAAGGAGTGAGACTGATATTCATAGCAAACAGTTATAATCCTTTAAATACATAAACACAGAATGCCTATTGCTTGGAAGTAGGGTTTATGCATTTATTTACCAATTTAAGCACTCTATAAAGGAGCATTTTTCAACCTCAGCAACTTTAAGATGTTAGAACATCTTAAATTAATACATTAATCCACACATCTTTAAGTTGTTGAGGTTGAGAAACACTGCTATAAAGTAGACAGTGAATATTATTATTACATGCCCAGAAAGCATACAGAAGTGAAACACCATAAACACCAATCAGTTCAGACTGTCAAGAACACCTTTTCCCTACTGGAAAACCTCTCATTCCCCACACAACCTCTTTGCCCAATTTTAATTTGGTTGAAATGCCTATCAGATAGCACTATGAAAACATGTTTTAATTTGAAAACCAAATTGCATAGTTGGCTAACAAAATATGTGCAGCAAATAACCAAGCTCAGAGAGTACCAAGAACTTCACATAAAAATCTAACTTCAAACAACAATATCATATACTTTATATGTGAGATTTTTCTTTCCTAGAAAAAGTCTAATATTAATAATTCTAATATTCAACAGGATTGAGCTAGAATGTCTGACTAGGAATTTAGATAGTAGAGCATATTTTTTTTCCTAATCTTTATTATTCACGACTATTTTTACACAGCAATCTTACTGATTTTGATTCCAGAAACTCCATTCCTCTGGCAACTTGATATGAGAAGCAGAGAAGGTCTTCAAAAGTCAGTATATTGAGGCTTTCTTCAACATCTAGTTTCCTGTTCACATATTTCAATTCATCTAAAAATGAAAAATGCTGATTGGTTGATTTCTTAAGTACAAAGATGGACAACTGTGTTTTTAAGTTTTGTTATGCGGTCTCCAGAACCTTTCACTCCCAATATATCACATTCTTTCCTATACACTAGCAACCACTTTCCTTTTAGACCATATAGACCCCTGTTCAATGCAGAAATCAAAATTAAAGCAGAGAGCTGTGTGTATTCTGCTTAATTAAATCATCTTCAGTTTTGGACAGTATGATAGCTCTTCAGTACTTGAAAGGTCCTAGCATGTACTAATTCAGTCTTTTTTTTTAAAGGCTTCTGAAAGAAGATGGTACATCCCAGTTTTTATTATTGCTACTGCTAAGACTATTTAAAAAAGCAGCGCCCTATCTCAGTGTCAAATATCTTTCTGTCCAACTCTAATTTCTACAACAATTTTTATAACCTCTTACCTTCCTCTGAAAGCAGGGCACTTCCATATATTTTAGAGATCACATCTAAGTCTTGTTTTGCATATGAATGATCCATTTGTCCAACTGGTAGATATGATCCATTTGTTACTATGATTCCATTTCTGGAAACAAAGGGTGCCCTTTAAAAAAAAAAGAATTGGTTGAAGCATCTAATATAACAATAAGGATAAACACAGCTTGATTATGAAAGAATAAATGTAATAAATTTGGGATGTAACCAGGCGTAATCAAAATGTTATCTCCCACAACATAGAAATCACTATTATTGCATTCACTTTAAGTGGCCAAATCTTTTAAATGAGGATCTGTGATAGTTTCTATTCAGACAATATACAACAGAATGAAACCAACCAGTCTCATGTGGCTTCATTGGAACTTCTCTATCAAAATACACTTCTGAAACTGGGTTAGACTAAGTTGGCCCTATGAATTGTAGGAAAATAAGTTGGCCCTATGAATTGTAGGAAAATAATGGCAGGGAATGTGAAAGGACAGCTATACTTCTAAACAGAGCCATGGATCAGAACAAATTGAAAGATTTCTCTTACACTGAAAGTAAATAAACCAGCCATATGCCTCATACAAAACACCATATCTAAAATTTAGCTTAGTCTGAATATAGTGCTACTGAGGGAGATTTTCTCAATATTTTCAACCAGTTTATATCATTTTTTAGTTTGCCAGTGTTTATAGTTTTCTTTATTGTCTGTCTGAATTATATTGTCACCTGTCTGGCCACATTGTTCCTACAGCTTATGATCAAAGACCTGTCAACTATTGCAGCTTCAAAAACCATTATTAAGAGTAAATTAATTGTAATTCATAAAAAATATTCCCATCGGTTGTATTTCTTCTGAGCTTGTAGGGTTATGTGGGGTTGGAAGTAAGATTCATTGTCACCAGCAATTTTTGGTAATGCACAATAAATATTTCTACGGAGTCTCTGGTGCTCTCTGAACTTGATTATTTTCTTGCAGAGATTTTATTACCAAACTAGGTAACATCGTCAGTGCTAGAAGGAAGTAGAGTTTGCTCTCATTTTATATACTAATGGCTTGCCCTGCCAGCTCTACTAGCCTTCTCCCTGTTTGTCTTGGATAGTAATTGTTACAGTGTTATAGTCCTTAACACTCTATGTTGTAGATGACTCTTGTTTTCTCTTATAGGGCTGCTGGGTATTTTGGTTTACTTAGGAAGCTTTGGAGAGCTTTAGTTGGTTTGTGTGTTACGGTGATGCCATATAGTTAGAAAACTACTAGAACATATCCATGAATATCTACTGACTAGTAGTCAGAAGACAGGATGAAAACCAGAAACTCAGACAAACAAGCTAACAGTAAACAACAGCCAATCAAGGAACCACCAAGACCACTTCTACCAGCACTGACAGGGCAAACCACTAGTACACAAAATGAGAGCAAACCCCACTCCCTTCTAACTCTGATTGTTACCCAGTTTGGTAATGAAATGTCTGCAAGAAAACAACAAAGTTTAGAGAGCACTGATGTCACATTTCAATCCTGACCTATAAATATTTGTTTCTATCAGAATTTTTCCATTTTTCATATTGTTTTGTTAAAGCTACACTTCTAAAGTAGGAATTACTTGAGCTATGAAATGGTGTTATCGTAATTGATTGAGCCACATACTGCAAAAATGACAAGCTGTCTTTAAACTAGATCAGTTTCTTCATCTGCGCATAGTATAGTTATTTCTCCCTTATTTTTGGCTGGCCACAATTAAACCATGGTTGATATTTACCTTGAATTGATCTGTCTTCGAAAATTGTGGTAAAAACTGAAATTGTGCCGACTGAAGACTTCAGCCCACGTTTTGTGAAAGGTCTCTCTTTTGCTTCGTAAGTAGTTCAGGAGGTCCCCATAGCAACAATATTCAAAAATTAAGTAAACTGGTCCTAAAAAATACATGTTTAATATATCAGGAAGCATCTTTTACTTAATATATAGTTAGCATGCATCATATTGAGAAAGAATAGACATTTCTTGGATGTAGGAAAAAGGAAATGAAAGTTGTTAGAAATTTTCGTCTCAATCATATGAAAATGGTATGTCTGTATCTTATACTTATTCCATGATACTATAAGTCTTTGAATTCCCATTGTAACGCATGCTAGCTAGGAATTCTAGGAACTGTAGCAAAACATCGGTTTGATACCAGATTGCGGAAAGATGCAGTATTCTTACTTGGTGCAACTCTTTTCACTTTGAAGTAATACTTGAGAAGTTCTGATCAAGAACTTAAAAACTTTCTTAAGCTTAAGAAAATTCATTATACATCCAACTTATACATCCAAGGATAAGGGATCTTCCCCGAGTCTGCTGTTCCTAAAAGCCTCCAAATCCTGAAGACACAGCTCTACAGGATTTTTCAGAGAGATTATTTATTAATCTGTCACTTAATATGCTATCTGGAAGTATCAAATAGTATAAAAATATACAGACATCATGATTGTGGCAGTTTTTGAGTTTTAAAACTTTTTAAGCTGATGGGTATCCTTTAAACATTGAAAGCATGCAATTATGTTCTCTCAAATGATTATAATGGGAGAACTTCCCCATTTTCAAATGGTTAATATGGTGAATATTGCTCACCAGAAAAGAATATATTTAACAGAAGTCATATTGGTGTTATTTCTTGTCATTCCTTCTAACTATCCAATATATTTTCTACAACTCTAGTTTACATTTGCATTTTATTTTCCCAGCCAGTTAGGCATACTTACAAGCAATGTACTGGACATTTTATTTTCTCAAAAATGTCTATGGGGTTTGTGATATCTAAAACCATTCTTGGAAATAAAAGTATGCCCACGACCGTCATGCCAAGGACCTCAAATATTTGATGTAATACTCTAACTCTGAGTACATTTCAGAAATATGTGGCTCACCTGACTTGGTGCATGCTCCTAGCAGATTCACAATGTTTTCATGACTTCCAATATGAATCATCATTTTGAGTTCAGACATTAGAGCATCTTTTTCCAAAGAGTCATATTTTTCTGTAAAGGTGACATGACAGATAGTAACTATGCAGAATTTTTACAAAGAAATATATACAGACTGAAACACATTAGAAATAATTTTATTAACAGAATTACTAACTCAATCAAATATTTCTCTTGAAGCAGGAAATGAGAGTGAACAAGTAAAAGATGGCTGTAGCTCTTAGAGAAGCACCTTGTTTCCTGATTGAGTGATATCATGGGATAGTTTATTACTACTCAAAAGTAAAGGAAACATAAAGAAGAATAAGAAAGACTGTAATATGTACCTACCCATACCTGCAGTGATTGGGAAATATCTTCTAAGGAAAGAAGAAAAGAGAACACTCATCCAAAAATAAAATGGAAAAAATGATCCAGAAATAGTGTAGTGCAGTCAAGCACTCTTCATTTTTTTAAATTCTCATTCTCTCTCTCTTTCTCTCTCTCTCTCTGTATGTATGTGTACATGTGTCTTTCTTTGTCTGTCTCTCTCTTAAATGTATTTAGTAGAATAGAAAATCTTTCATTAGGATGCACATAAAAGACACTAAAAATAGAACAATATTATTTTAAAAGATAAAACATGCTATAGACTTGGCAAGGGATGTTTGTAGCTAAGCAGTTCAAGTTAGTTGTTGACAGGTGCAACTGTTGTATAAGCTTATTGCACTAGGATTTGATGACGTCTTTTTAGCAAAACACCAGGATGTATGACAAATTTAATACAAATTTATTTTTATGTTAATAGTCTAATTCTCCCATCATATATAGTACTTCAGGTGCATCTTTATGGCATGGAACCAGTTGGCATCATTCTCTTCAGTGGATTTTTTTCCATTTCCAAAGCATATCAAAAGAATAAAATTATATGAAATTGTTTAAATTAAAAAGATTTCTATAATTAGAATCTTATAAAATTTTAATTCTTTTAATATAATTTTAATTAGATTAAAACTAGCCTTTTAAGTAAAAAGGACATTTAGAAAAATGATGTAAAAAGACAATGTTCATTGAGATGGATGCTTTTTTATTTTATTTTTTAAAAAAGCATCCAATAACTGAATATTGAAGAGCACACAGCAAAGTCACAGAGTAAAAACAATTATAGACTATTAGGTCAACATATCTAATTACTGACATGGACCAGAAATATATTGATTCACATTACTTTAGTGACTTTCAGGGAAAAAATCTATGTAGTTGCTAAAAGTGAGCACAAAATCAATCAGTCTAGTGAGTTAGAAGTTATCTATGCCAACATAAACATCATATTGGCCATATGTGTGCATTGCATTTATCCAAAAACTAAACCATGTTTTTAGTTAGTTCACGTGAACTAACTAAATTACAGTTTGACAATATGTGTTGGGTTAACACATAACGGACTAAAATGTTGTTGACTAGTTCAATCTGTGGCACAGAGATAACAGCTCTAATCTGTTCCTCTTTGCTTTCAAACCTTGGAAAGGATTTATAACACACAAATATCAGAAAGCTAATCACCTAACCCATCTTTTAGGATGTACTGTAAATGCTACAGTATGGATTCAAGATCAGAAGACTCTATTGCTTCCAAGAACCATTCTCAAGAAATAGATGGCGTCATACCTTGCCAGAAGAGGGAGCTGCTGGTCTTCTATTAGTTGTGCTTGAGGACCACCAGTAATGAAGTTTAGAAAGGGAACTGTCAAGCACAAGCAACCAGACCCACAAGTATATAGAATCCAAGCTTACTACTTTAGTGATGGGAGAAAATCAGGTTGATACAAAGAGACCACATTCTCCTTAAACTTTAGGCTACCTTTAAGCATTTTGACGGCAACTTGGATGGATGCTCCAGCTTCACTAATTCCATATGCAGTAGCGTTCACGACTTTCCCAAAGGCACCAGAGCCCAGTACTTGCCCTATAAAAAAGAAAGTATTCTCTTTATTTTACAATTTGTGTTTGCTTATTTCATGATTAGCTTCCGGAAGAGTACCACGGACAGCTCACCAAATTTCAGATTTTCTCTGGGAAACTCCCACTTGACATCATATTCCAACTCACTGAAATTAATGTAGATGTATTCATTGTCGGAAGGACCAACCATTTGTATTATATGCAGTTGTCTTTCATATCTAAATTGCTAGAGGGAATGGAAATTGTGAATGGTAAAAGCGACACACGAAGGGAGACTGAAGTGAATAAAGAGTGTCAATTTTGCTGTTACCTTTTTATAGTTTCGGCAAGTTATTATGCACAACCCAACAATAATTGGAAAACAGACTCCAAATGTTGCATACAGCAAAACATTACCTGGAAAGCAAATGCAAAAATTCATGTAATTTGAAAAAGAGTTGAATTATGAAAGAGGGAAGTAAATATTTATTCTACTTGAATGAATGAATACTTTCTGACAATATTGACTGTAGAGTTCCAAATCTCCCTAGGGTAGAATTTGCAAACTTTTGAGATGTTACACAATTCTTATTAGACTTGCAAACATATATAACATATGCAGTACATTAATTTTTATATACCAAGCATTCATGTCTTGAAGAACATAGCTCTGCCCACCAAATAAAAAGCTAAGAATTGTTCATAAAAAGTACAAAGAATGAAAGTAAGCATACAGTGGCCATACATGAGACCGATCTGTATCTCGGGTATCTCTGGAGCATGTGTTTTCTGTGAGCAAATATGTCAGTTAAAGTATATTCATTGGAATGTTTTCCAGCCTCAGGTCCCCATTGGTAAATAGAAACTGTGTTCTTTCTTACTAACTGCAAATGGAAGCCACAAAATGATTACAAATGGAAAAGCAAGAAGCAAAATCCAAGCATCTGATTTCCATAGTACAGATCTGGAAGCAAAAGAATTTGGATGGGTTGAATTTCTTAAATCCAATCTTTTATTTTAAGTTTTGGCCAAAATTGTCTCAACATGCTATTTCTAAATTCTAAAATCCAATTATCTCCGTAATATTTCACCATATACTCAGTAGTGTGAACTGTGTAATTATATAGTACCTTTTGGTTCAATAAAATAAGATTCGCAAGAATAGCCAACTAAATTGTTTGCACAGCATTCAATGAAACGTCCAGTTTGTATGTTCTTTGTATTTAAAGTGCTGCTTGAGATCCAGGATCCAAATATTGTTCCTTGACGTTTTTCATTTGAAATTCCATCTGTGATTTCAGTGCAACTGAAAGGAAGGAAAATCTCTTTACATTTTCTAATGCTCATGCAAACTATTAAAATTCAACATTACAAATAAAAAATAAGTGAGAACTTCTTGGGGGGGGGGTCTGCAGAGGAAATTAGAAAAAATCAAGATGGCAGTTCTGTGTAAAGCCCTGCCCCCCTTTTGCATATATCACTGGATTGTGGCTGCAATCCTGACATTTTTGGCATTCTAATTTCCTCCCCGCCCCTGAGAACTTCATATAATCATATACTTCAGCATTAGGTATTGAAAAAATGGTGTAAACTGTCAACTTTTTTCAGTTACATCTTCTTTATATTTGGTAGATCTTTTTTAGAATGCATGTTAGGTTGTTGGCTCACAGAAAGGGAATTCTGATTACCCACCACATTTATGCTAGAAGTGATATAATATGTTAACCAATCTTAGAGCATATTCTGGCCCTCACTAATGTTGTCTTTATAGATTGTTGTTAGGGTATTCCATTTATCCGAGGGAAGACAATGAGAACGTCATCTTATTTTCTGCAGTCCATTGTTGACTGTCCATATCCTAAGAAACATTTTTGACTACATGCTTTAAAAGAAGAGCAACATTACAAGCCATTATTTGGAAGATCAGAACTAAGAAATGAATCAGTTAACAGGTCCTTATCTTATCTGTAGTGGTGCAGTAGTTAGAATGCAGCATTGATGGCAGGAGTTTGATCTTGACTGGTTGAAGCTTGATTCAGCCATCCATTCTTGCAAGGTCAGTAAAATAAGGACCAAGATTGCTGGGGGCAATATGCTGACTCTGCATATTGCTTAGAGAGGACTGTAAAGCACTATGAAGAGGTATATAAGTTTAAGTGCTATTGCTTTTGCTATTTCTATTTGACAGTTTCTGGAACTGTAACTACCAAAATTGTAATTGATGAGATGGCCTGGCATAGGAAGATTGCAGGAATGGAACTGGGGTGATATAACCCTATTTGCAGCAGGAAGAATAAAATGAACAGCTTCTGGATAATGGTAAGCTGGAACTCCTATTCTGTTAGCAAGAACTGTCTATATGTGTTCACTTTCTCTGAAGTTCTCAGTTCAAGATTTAGGGCAAGATGGAAACGTTTCTGTATAATTTATTAAGAGAAATATTTTGAGCTCCGACAGGTGCACTAGGAACTCAGAATCCACTTGTCTGACCCAGTGGCGTCAATCAGAAGCTTTTATTCCTGTGGCATATTATTTACATTTTTTTTAAAAAAAACAATTATGTTAGTACTATATGATCCATAACTATATCATAGTTAATCAATGGAGATCAACCACTCATATCAATGAAAACATTCAAAGTGTGTTTTTTTTTATATTTACTTAATATGTTTTCTGTAACATTCCTTCCAGATCCACAATGGAGCAGGATTGCTTTCAGCAGTGCAAGATAACTGATTAAATGTTGAGCTCATTTTTATTTTAGGTTTGCCTGCAAAGATAACAGCAAAAATGATAGATAGTTCAGTAATTCGATTTGGCAAACATTGCACATATTCTCTATAACTTAAGCCTTTTCTGTTTTAACTAATTCTGATTACAAACCCATTTGTCTAAGGGAATGGATCTTTATATGAATCACAAGATAATTGACTCCAAGGGAAGTATATTTAAAGCCAAACCTAGCACAGAATAAAAGATATTACACAGCAATACTAGTCTTTATCAGTGACCCAGACTCTTCTGTTTTAACCTCGTGTACTTACTTTGACTTCCCTTACCAGCTGTCTATTACTTTGTTCAACTCACTACACCCAGTACTGGATTTGGGCGTTAAACTGGTGAAACTAGATAATGCAGATACAGAGCAAAATGTCAGGGTCATAAATCTATAGCATCAATAATCAAATCAGAAATAAGCTAGTTGGTCTAGCAATTGATACATTTAGCTAGATTACCTATATTTTCCGGTGTATAAGACAACTTTCTAAACCCTGAAAATCTTCTCAAAAGTCGGGGGTCGTCTTATACGCAGGAATATATGGGTAGCTGTTCTCTGAATTTAAAACCAACCTGCCCCCTAGTGGCCAGCCCTATTTTTTTTTTTTACAGAAATAAGCACTAACAGGACAAGGTTTTCTAGCAGCAAAGGAATGGAGCTCCTGTTGTGCTCATCTATAAACAGAAATTCAATATAGTACTGTATTTTCTGGCGTATAAGACGACTTTCTAAACCCTGAAAATCTTCTCAAAAGTTGGGGGTCGTCTTATACGCCCAGTCACCTTATACGCCGGAATATACGGTATATCCCTCTTAGTTATCTTTCCCAGCTTTTTCCAACTTGATTTCCTCCAGATATGGTGGTCCAATAGCTCCTTACTTTGAACAAGTTACTAATGACTGAGAGTTACAGAGTTTACCATGAGAACATTATGTTAGTAAAGGCTAGCTTGCCCTTTCAAACTACCAGGCATTTATCTTGCAGCATAACTGCATGAGATTCCTACACTGAAGATGCATGATACTCTACCATCATGTTTAGACTTTACACAAAAAAGTAACTTTTAACTTTTGTTCCCACTACTGCAGTCAGTCAGTCAGTCTACCTAGTTAACTAACTATGAACCCCCACTCTTGAAGCCTATATATCAGGGGTGTCAAACTCGCAATGTCACGTGATGTGTCATGATGTATTGCGACTTTTTTTCCCATTGCCGAGAATGGGGTGGGCACGGTTTTGGTATGACGCATCTGGCCCGTGGGCTGGCAGTTTGATACCCCTGCTATATATCTTTGACTGGCAGAAAGAAACTTTTTTGTTAATTTAGGCAGGCATTTCACTAATGTATGCTATACCTGGTTTTAAATACTTTTAATATTGTTTTTATTATGAACAGCACTTTGTTCATTTCCTACTTAGTCCCAACACATATTTTAAAAGTGACAAATTGAAGAAGATTTTTACAGTTTTACAGTTTTCAGTGGAAAACATGGGTAAAAATTAAACCTGTTAATAAATATAGCATGATACTAAGAATTGATTGATCTTGTTTCTTAAAACATACTCACTCTTCACATAGAGTCTTAATGTCCTCTTTACAAACACATCACTATTTTCTGCATAGAACAAATATTCTCCTGGTTGGTTTTTATGGTCACAGAATCTTGCAGAGATACTGTTTCATAAAGGAAGGTAGAAAGGGTCATTCAAGTGTAGACTCAAGTGTACTCTTTACTGAAAGGGTCTATGGTGAGTTTTTAATCTACCCAGGTTACTCTCAAAGAATCAAAACCACCAAATAACATCGCAACCAAGCAATATTGTTCTCCCACGAAGGTTTGAGAAACAGAACCTTTGATATGGCATCTGAAACTATGGAAGTAACTCATGCAAAAAAAATTAAAATCTTTTCTTTTATATTAAAATAAGGAAAGGAAGCTTCCTAAGCTCTACAAGTGGCCAATCACATAGACTTTTAGGAAATTAACCACAGATACAATATTACATTTGTATCTGGTTATGTATTTGACCTTTCCTCAAATACCATATACTAAAAAAAAGTGTGTGTGTTTTTTACTCTATAGAAACCTTCCAATATCTCAGTTCTGCTGATTTGATCTGAAGTAGGGCACAGATGGAGTTTGTGGATTTGAAGATTACTAATATGCTGTTCCTCCTATTATGAGTCCAGAAAAAAGTTCTGAAATTAAGAATGCTCTTCCTCTTCTTCTGCAGGAAAAATCTCTCTTCACTAAAGGCTATAGACCAGTGGTTCTCAACCTTTCTAATGCCGCGACCCCATAATACAGTTTCCCATGTTGTGGTGACCCCGAACCACTTATACATCACCGGGTGCCAGGGGCGTGGCCAAAGAAAAGGGGAAAAAATGGCGGACAGCCTTGTTTGGCGACCCCCGTGAAATGGTCGTTCGAACCCAAATGGAGTCCCGATCCACAGGTTGAGAACCACTGCTATAGACTATATAATCTACCATATTGCTGAAGTGGTGGTTGGTAGATAGTTGTTTTTTAATTTTCTGGTCTGAGGCTCAGGGGGATAACTGGCCCAAACCTACCAGATCAACTTCTCTACCTAAGACTAGGAGTTGGGACTCCTGTTCCTACTCTAACTACCCTATCACACTGGCTCTCAATATTTCTGATCAACACTCCAGTCATTTATATAAACTAAGAACAGGATGGATAGTTAGTTAGTTAGTTAGTTATGTATAGATAGATAGGCAGACAGTTAGATGATATAACCCTATTTCTAATCCTTTTAAAATTGAAATAGCACAAAAAGTTAAGATTTGAATCCATCAGGGACAGCTTTCATGTCCAGCTTTGATATAGCAGGAAGGGATGGGACAGGTGAGAATCTATAGCACCACTATCAGAATAAATTGAGTTTTAACATAACAGAGGTCAAGAACTTTCAACTCTTGGGTCAAATAAGGTCTTCCAGGTGTTTCAGTCTGAATCTTCAAACTTTTTTTCCTCATTTATTTTGCTCCAGAATTACTCCATGCACTACAAAGCTTGTACAAATTGCAAAGAACAGAAAAAGGCTGTTTTGTGGTCATTCATTTGGTATCCTAAATAAAGATACATCCACATTTCTATCTCTATTTGGCTTTGACTGTCCTGTGGTGGCACGTAGCACAAAAGATTTGAAGGGAAGTAATAAAACCTCCTTAACAAAAGAAAAATTCTTACCTCCCATTTTGCAAAAACAAGATTACAAAAAGAGGTTTGAATCCTGCATTTGGCCTGCACCAGCCACCTAGCACTTCATAATGCAGATAAATGAATAGAATGAAAAAACTTGCACTTTCTCTTTCACCTGGTCTCAAATTTACTACTGCTTGGGAAATCACATATAAAAATACATATTGCTCAAACAGAAATTTGTACCTCTACATGTTAACTTCATCTCAAAAATGCAGATTGTATTTTAATTATTTTTCCTGCACTGTGCTGAACTCATGAACAGCAGAAGCAAATGATGCTGGCCTGGCATAGAACAAGGAGCAAGAAAGAGCATGACAAATACTATAGATAAAGGAGATAAAGCAGGGCAGGCAGAAATCTCAGGATCAATATATTGACAGCTGGAAATACACAAATTGGACTCTTTCCTTCATTCTCCCTGTCGGGCATCAAGATAAGTCTTCCAGACTAAGGTATACACACCAAACAACCACTGATCTAAGAGTCTCTATTAGCTATTTACAGCATCACTGGAACAGCCTCAGAACTTCAATATTACATCTTGCCATTAAGTCTTGCTGCAAAGGACGATTCGCTCAGCATTATCCTGCTGTTGTCCATATTAGAAAACACTCAGCAGCCAGAAAACAAACATGAGAGTCAGAACAAGATGTTATTATGGTAGCACAGTGGCAGCTCTTTCAATCCCCACAGCAAGGGCTGGTTTCCACTGTAGCTAGAGAAGAGTCTAAATGGTTTTTTACATGTTCCTTGGTGTGTGTGTGTGTGTGTGTAAAGAAAGAACAGAAATTCAATGGGATTCTCAGCAGGGAAGTGTTACTTGCAGATTAGTAGTTTTCAAAGAAAAGGGATATCTGTAGTGTCTCACCCCTTAAGGAACCTCTGATCATGAGTGATAACAGGGAAATAATAAAAAAAGCCATGCACATTGGAGGAATCTCATCATATAAGGTGTTTGTTTGTTTGTTTTCTTCCTGAGATTTTCAGGTGTGTACCTAAGATTTACCCAAAATGAATGTGTTGGGACAACAATTTAGCTGCAGTTTCATCAAAATTCATGTTCTTGGGATTTCACCAGTAGTGAACAGAAATCCACAGGAAGATATTTTTGAAAACTATCAATGTTTAAGCAGAGGCTAAAGCTGGGGATCCAGATGCTTTCTTAACAATTATAATAAAAGGAAATAAGCAAATTACAATAACCATGTTTCCACCAAATGAGTCAAAATTTTCTTAATGATATTTTTCTTGAAAATCAAGTCATATTATGTGTGATATGGCATATATATTAGCTTTTTATTGCTGCACACTTGGTAGCCATAGGCAACCAGAAATACTTGCAAGTGAGTTAGGGATACAACTCTCCATTCTTCTTTAGTATAAAGAAACAGGTGAGCTGCTCAAAAAACCACATTTCTCCTTAATGATCATAGAAATGCTTTCTCCATCTTCACCTAGCCTCCAGCAGAATAGCTAAAAAAACAAATCCTTCTGAGTTTATTTACAATGTTGTAAGTAGAAAACAAAAAAAATAATATTTATGCATAGATTTCAGTTTCATAAGACTGATTCAGTCTGGAAAACTAAACCAACTTCTGCTGAAAAATAAAGGAAGATTTATTGTATCAACATCAATAAGTTTTGCTTTATGCTTGATTGAAGAAGTGAAAGCAAATAAAGAAGGAACAGGAAACCCAAAGGTACCAAGATGTTTTGTGGAAAACTTTAGAGGAAGTAGTAGGTGGAGTGGAATCAAAATACTAAAAAAGGAAAGAAAAAAAAATCTGCGAGGAATTTATTTATTTATTTTCAAATATAGAAATTTTTCTCTTTGTATTATGCCTTATTTTCCAAACCTTGCTCCTCTTTTCATCTGAGCAAAGAAAGAGAACATTTGTTCACACATTTTTGCTGGGATAGGCTCTTCAACTTTTTTATTATTATTATAAATTTGCTAAAGTTGCTTCTACTCTCCAGTTGCTTTTTTTCTTTTTTGTCCAAGAGACATCATTGCTCCCCTTTATCCCCTGGGGATTGCTGCTAATTTTGAACAGAGAAATAGGAGGTCTTTGCTGTGCCTCCTCTATTCTGCAGGGAAAGAGTCAAGGAATAATATATATTTAACACCGATCTTAAAGAAAATAAGACAAGAAATATAGAGACAGACGCCAAAAGAATTTGAGAGGGAGAAAAAAAGAAACTATTATGAGTAATCATACTAATGACCCAGCAACGCCACACAGCAACTGTAACAACCTAAGGCTGCATTAATAAAATAAGGCATAGTTCCACCCAGTTCTGTGCTAGCCTGGTCAGAGTTAGATTACAGTTCTGGGGGATGCTTTTTAACTATTAGAACTCTAGAGAAAGAAGAGATGGATTATTTGGAAACCAGATCCTATAAGGTTTGGTGGAAATAGCTATGTAATGTTAACTTGGAAAACATAAAATTAAAGTGAGACCTGACAGTTCTCTTAAAATATCTCAAACATTGGGGTGTAAAAGACTTAATCTCTTTTGCTTTAGAAGGCAGGACTAAAACTAATGTAGAAACTTCAGGGAAGTAAATATAAGGGCTGATTTAAGAAAATCTTCTTAAGAGTTGTTTGGAATAAACCAGAGGCTCTAGGATGGGCACCTATGGATCAAAATAAATGTAAGGATAGTCACACCAAGAAAATATACTGTACACGGTAACCAAATAAAAAAAGAAGGCTGAGCACACAAGAAATTTAGGTTCCGTAGTCTGTCTTAAGTAAAAAGTGCTCTGAAATAGTTCTTTAAATAAACAATATGCTTTCAGGGTACAGAAATATACAAAGCTGCACCATGTACTTTCAAGGTCTGTTGCAAATAGACCTACCAGCTTCCTCCTTATGTTTGAAAAACTCTGAAGGGAAGACGGAAACATTTATTTTTCGACTTTAATGTTTGCAGAGTCATAGAAGCCAAGACACATCTCACTCAACTAGCACCTTTTAGTATCCAACTTGCTATCTTTAAAAAATAATTGGATGTTCCACAACCACATGTAACATTCATTATCTAGAAGTTAAAAGTACAGTAATGACAAAGAACACCCACACACAAACCAATAAAGTCTTAAGTACATCAGCACATGACACGACCAGACAGTTCCCTAGTGGGGCCTATCAACAATAGTGCTGCTACTGCTGTACCATCAGCGCAAACTCAAGATCCTGCATCACTCAGGGATCTCCTGATTCAGAGCCACAGGCTTTAAAAAGTTGAGCAAAAATATTGCTAGTCCTCATTACTGTCTGATAGAAGGAGGGAAGAAGGAACAGATAATTAATGCTCGAAGAGGAGAGAGAACGTACAGCAGAAAAAAATGAAAAAATAATAATAATTTGCAAGGACCTTTGATGTAGCTTTCTCTGCCCTGGTATCTGTCACTATCACCTGTTGTATACCTCAGTTTTCAAGATACTGTAGTATGGTTCTGGGAGCTGCTATTGTAATTTTTCACACATTGACCTGGAATGACGTTAAGAGTATACTGAGAAATTCATCAATATGTTCCCCAGGAATTTATTTATTTATTTATTTATTTATTGTCTGAAGTTTATACCCCAAGGGAGAAGATTGAACTCAGATTGATGCTTAAATTTTTACACAAAAATCTGTGCAATTTCAACATGCTGAATTACAATCTGATGTATCCAAGTCTCTCTGCTGCATTGTGGAAAAAAATGTTACATGTTTGCTGATTTGATAAGGCACTGGTACGGTGTACTACATTAAAGTTCTCTACCATGAACTTTTTAATTTAATTGAAGAAACAATAGCTTGTGGCATACAACAAATAAGAACATACACAACAAATAAACAGCATTGTTTTAAACATCTTATCAGAAGTGGAGAAAATGTGCAAAAGTGTATAGCAGACAAATAATCAAAGAGAGTGAATTACCTGTAAGTGTCTGTGTAATTTTGCTGACATGGAAATGATATTTGGGAAAATATCCAAATGCATCTAATTGGTGGGTAGGCTTTAAGTTTAACTTCAAGGCAAGTATCTTCTTCTATGCCAACTTCAAAATCTTCCTTTGCATTGGTTATATTGATAAACCCTTTATCTGTTAAATGATAGATCAACATTATGTGGCAGGATTCAGTATTTATTTGAAGGATTTGAACATAAGCAGCTTTGGTATTCCTCAGTTTATAGCAAACAAATGACTATTGAATGGATGGCAGACTTTCATTCTGATAGAGGCACAAATACTGTATGAGAATACACTGTAGGCCTTCCTAGGTCATGGGTTTTTTTTTTTTTTTTTTTTATAGTTCAGCTATATGTTTACAAGTAGTAGTGGGCTGCTAGATTTTCTTAGGAAACTAGAGGCTGATCTTTAATGTGATAATATTCCCTTGTTGTAGTGTATATTTCTTGGCAACTGAGAGGCAGAGAATAGAAGTTATATTTGACTTGACAGTTATTAGCCATTAGTTGCCATTTCTTCCTTAGAATCATTTACCATAGTTAACTTTTTCCAATAATGGTGATATTGAATTATAGTTTTCATAATAATCCAATCAACATGTTCATTCCTACCTTTACTAGAAGGGCTATTTTAAATACAATATCTTCTGAGTACAAAGTTTTGAAACTAACAGAGTTAGTAAGCCTTGCAATCAGAGCATACCGTGTTCAAACTATTTTGATCAGTAGCTCCCTCTAACTTATCAAAGATTATGTTTTGCAAAAAGCATTTTCTTTCTGTGCAGAAGAAAATAGATTAAAAAATTGCTGGACAATTATATGCATGTTTGAATAGGGTTCAGATTATCTGGAGTATAATATAAGTCAAACAACTGTGTAATAAATTTTCTATTCTCCTATATCGGGGTGGACAATTTTCCCAAGGGGCCATGTGAAAAACTGGGGCTGTGAAGATGTATAGTTCATCCATGGACTCACATATGTAAATTGAAAAAAAAAGCAGTTGCCTTCAAAATAAAAGCAATGCAATTGTATTACATCCATGACGTACACTTATTTATGTTTGATTTCTAATTTCCGATTGATATCATGCGGGCAAGAAAGGGATTATACTATAAATATCTTGTACATCTGATTGCTTATTTTTCCTCCCCTTTTAGTAAAACCAAATATTTATTTGCATCAAGAATAATGACAATTGTTCAAATCTCTATTACAATTGAAATTACCATGGTTAAATCAATAATGTGATTGTATGATAAGCCTAAAAATGTTTTCTTTTCAATTTTAAGAGACTTGAGGAGTAATGCATGAGGGGTAAGTATGAGCCACAAATAATCACAAAATCAATTTTTCGGTTGTCAATTGATGGAAAAGCAAGGAAATTAGATTCTTCTTTTGCACAGACTTAAAGAACCTTAACTGGCCAATAACCCTCCACTCCAATAATACAAAAAACTTCAAGAGGAAAATTGGCCACAGTCACTGGCATGAACTTATGAGATACAGTATTTGGGGGGGGGGAACCGTGTGTTTAGCTTCATTGTCAACATTCTATAGAAAAAACATATATTTTATCCCATCAATTACCTCTACTGCACAAATCAACATAAGTAAATATGTCTTACCTAAAATTCTAACTACAGCAGTTTTCTCGGCAGCAATTTCTTTAGAAGAGCAAGTATAATTACCATCATTATGGGGTTCCACGGATGACATAAATGCATACAGAGTCTTAACCCAAGATGAACTCAATAACCATCTTCCTTCTAGGATCATATTCTAAATATTTAAATAAAGATTAGAATGTAAGAACTAATAGCTTTTATTCAGGATGGACCTATATAAAGTTTCACCATTGGGGGATACGTTAGTGGTGGAGTTTATTAGAACTATTGTTTTACCTATTTTATTACTAGTATGTCCTGAAAGGTATAGTTGTACTGAGGATACACGTTAAGACAAGGTTAGGATTGGCCCAGAGAACTTTAGTAATAAATGGTTGATAGCTTGAACAGAAATGAGGAAAGAGATAGATTAGTTGGAACACTACTTCCCCATGGATCTGGGTGAAAAAATGAGACCCAGTGCTTACATATTTATTTTTATTTCCTAAGGATAGTGGGCAAATTTAAGAAATACATTGGAAAAAATGGAACTTGTTTAAATATATGAAGACCTTCATAGCCAGAACGTATCAGTTCTTTCACTGAAATCAGCCCCAATCCAGCCTGATAAAAATTATGAACTTCATCATGTGTTTTGTTCAGAGACATGCACAGGCAAGGGATCGTAAAATGTGATTTCTATTCAAAACTAGGGATGTGTGGATCAACATAAATTTGCCTGATCTTCTGCTTAGCAAATCATATTGTCACTCCAGCAGATTTACACTTGGATTGTAATGAATTATCTAGATATATACTAGCTGCCAATTTAAGGGTAGGGCAGGGAGACAGGAGATTATTTATTTGGAAAATGAATGGGGTTATTGGTTTTATTTTTATTTATCTTTTATTTAAAAGATAGGCTGCCTAGAAAATGACCAGCACCTGTGCAGCTACTGTTCTGCCTCTGTAATCCCTTTCCTCGGCCAGCATAGCAGGCTTGGCTATAAAAGCAGAATAACCGAGTTGGAGGTCTTCTAGTCCAACCCCTTACTCAAACAGGAACCCTATACTATTTCAGACAGATGATTGTCCATTCTCTTCTTAAAAGCTTCCAGTGTTGGAGCATTTACAACTTCTGGAAGCCAGAATGCTGGCATGCATTCATCTATGGAAATAAAGCAGCTAACAAGATACTTATCTCTAGCAGTAGGACTCACAAGGTGTAGTAGTTGGAAGAGCAGTAGTAGGTGTAGTAGCAGTGGCAAAGAGTGGAGTGGTGGTGACCAGTGAGTACTAACCTATGAATGCTTGTGTGTCTCTCTCTGTGTGTGTGTGTTACCTAGAGACCTGTATTGTTGTATTGGCTCTCGTGTTTTTGAGCCCACTGACTTGGGTATACTTAAAAGAAGCTGTGACACTTTTCAAAATAAAAAACTATCTGCGTACTCCAAGAAGTAACTTTTTCTTTCTTTTTCACTGCAAAATAACCCTCTGTAGACATCATGGATTTAGATTTTGTTCAGAGATTTCTTTACAGTAGTTTGTGAAATACTAATGGAACAATTTAATCAATAAAGAGAATATTTGTAGTTCAGAATTAAAATGAGAGGGTCCTTTGTGCTCTCTGAGCTTGGTTGTTTTCTTGCAGACATTTCGTTACCCAAACTAGGTAACATCATCAGTCTAATTAGGAATGGAGTTTGCTCTTAGTTTGAGTAAACTCTCAAACCTAGCAAACAAAGGAACAGTTTAACATTGTAGGGTAGGAAGGGAATTAACCTTTGAGAACAACTCTAATGTAATGTAAGAAAGGAGGCTATTGAAAGAAACCTAGCAAGTTAAGAATGCTGATGTCATGGTTCCAACAGATGAATCTCTTCAAAAGAACTTCGAGGCATTGTTTTCCTTAAAGAATCTTTTATTCGAGAAATAAAGTATCGATACTACATAGCCAAAACTGAATTCCCCTCCCCTGGCACAAAGTAGCAAAGCACAATTCCCTCCTCCAATTAACAGTCATAAATCACATTCCCCAATTAACTTGAAGGGTGGGCTTTCGCCCCATCTCTCCTGCCTGCCAAATTTCTATCAACTCTGGACCTAATAACCTTGGGTTCCCACAGCTGAGTTATTATTGTTATGACTAGCTGGATTCTCATCCACATTCCCTCTCCCAGCATGAACAACTCTAAAAGCGATAGAGAAAAGATGGCTACATTTCCATCTGTTGTCAAAGCAGGAACATCTGATGTTAGCAGCATTGACATCTGAACAACTCAAACATTTTGTAAAGTAAGGAGAATGATTAGTATGTTTCATAACAAATTGAATTTGGTAACTGTTATTATTTGAATTGGAAAGTATGAGAAATGAAATATGCTAAAATCATACATTTTATTTTGTTTAATGTTCAAAATTGTTAGTAGTAATTGTCACAAGAAAATGAACTATTACCTTTTTTAATTGCTCGTTTCCAAAATGCCACTTATTTCCAAACTGAGAAGTGTTATATTTGGATCTGCATCTTAAGAACAATGGGTCTCCAACTCTGAGAAAAAGTTCCTGCACAGGGCTTTCAGATGTTCCACTCAGATCTGTATTTTGACCAAACATTATAAACAAAAATGCTGAAATCTTATATAACTTGTATTGCTAATACAAGAGAGGCCTATTTTTCTATGATGAGACATTACAGTTCTTGCAATGTGAAATTAGTGAGTTAGGAGATGCCCGAAGTGAGCTGGATATTCCATGTGTCTCATAAATGGTAAACTGCCTGCCTGTGATTTCAACACTAAGTATGTATTTGTGCCCCTCAGTTTAGGTGAGTGGTGTCCAATCTTGACAACATTAAAACTTATGGACTTCAACTCCCAGAATTCCCCAGCCAGAAAAAAAAATCAAGCAAAAAAAATCAATTTAATCTTATTTCCCCAGTTTATATAGATATATATTAGAACATTTAAAAATGCATTGTAACATTTTGCACAAATGCCAATCTAGTACATATCTTTACAAATGTTACTTACACTATGTTCAGTGTTATTTACTTCCAACAAAAGAATTAGGGTTAAAGTCACAGTTCAGTTGCACTGGTATTAAGATTTGTAGCTAATGTTTGAGTTTGTGCAATTGAATCTGGTTATATACTTGTGCTATAATAACCAGCCAAGCTTACCAGTCTTCCCCAAATGTAATAAATCCAGTTTAAACATCTGGCTGACTTTGGGACTAGCCATAAATACTTTATGTAATGAAGTATTAAAGGCAGCCCTCTGCCTATGTGCCCATGAGTAGTTCTTTCTATGCTGAAGTTTATTCTTGACCATAGGAATCCAATGGCACAATTAACACAAATTAAGATGTATCCTAAGGCAGATACAGTTTGTACTTGAGTATTACCTATTGTATAAAGCTCCGTGCATACTTTCCCCAGGTTATTAGTTGCACAGCACCATACATGCGGTTCAAATAACAAGTCCTCTTGTCTTAAGTGGAGCTGTGCTTTCTCAGTTATCAGGTCTCCAGAAACAAATCTGCACCTATAAATTAAAACAGCAATAAGTGAATATAAATAAAGTGCACGTTGATGATGATAATACTGTTTTAAATCATAATCCTCTTCATATCTTTTTAGTATAACAAAAAATATAACAGTGCAAGTAATTATATTCTATCACAGGTAAGAAACTTTATTTTGCTTCCTAAATACAGATTAATTAATTTATCACCCTTTAGGATTGGGAAAAAACTGTATCTGAATACTTTAGTGACATAGAATTATGCTTCATCACTGAATGGCTGCAGTTGTGTTTCAAAATGCCCACAGTTCAGTGAGGTAAATGGGGTTGTGATAACTGCAAAATATATGTTTTTATTGTCAACTACTAAGTTTAATATAAACTGAATGGTCATCATCAATATACCAAAGATCTCCATCCACTACATCAGTGTTTCTCAACCTTGACAATTTTAAGGCATGTGGACTTCATCTCCCAGAATTCCACAGCCAGCATTGCACACTGCACTACATCAATCATTTGACTACTAAAGACTTTTAGTTGTTTAAAAGGTCTCATTGGCAGCTGAAAACATCTACAAATTCCTGTAACCTAGCCTGAGCTACACAAATTTAAGCAGGTGTTGTCTGGGCATTTAAATGTATAGCCACATATAAGGGGAAGTTAGGTCGAACATTTCCTGAAACTTAATTCCTAGTTTCCTTACAGTGTAGAAACAATGAGGTTTTTTGCTAAAAGCATGATCTTATAGTCATTTTACCTAGCAAGAAATTTTAGGGCAGGAGGATCATTTTGCAATTTGAATGGATAAGTATGGAATTTATCAGAAATAAATTCCATCTGAATAAATTCATAACATTTGCCATAGCATTCTGTCAATTTACTACATGACATCTTCTCTTAGAACAATATCTCAGTCAAGGAACTACTAACTCAGACAAACAGTAAACAACAGCCTGATCAAGAAGCCACCAAGAACAGCTACACACCAACACTAACAGAACAAGCCACTTATGTATACTATAAATAGAAAGCAGACCCCACTCCCTTATAGTACTGATGATGTAACCTGGTTGGGTGATGAAGCACCTGCAAGAAAACCAAGCTCAGAGAGCACCAGGGGCCCCACAGTTCAACCCTGAGCTACAAATATTTTCTTCTGTTGGCATCTTCTGTCAGTGGGAAGATGCCCAAATATAATGCAAAAATAGAGAGTTCCAGAAAAGAAAAAAGAAAAGAAAAGAAAAAGTAATAAAAGAAAAACAATAGTTTGGAGCCACTTACTTGTCGTCAGGAACCTGGCAAGGGAGCCATTCAAGAACTGGTGTAGGATGTCCCTCTGATATGCATCTCACACCTTCATCACCGTGTTTCATAAAATATGGCTTTCCTGGGCTTCCTATTGAAATTAATGCATATAGTGATTTTTATGTATGTATGCATTTTGAACATGAATTTTAGTCATCTTTCTATGTTGATATTGAAAAAATATATGCAAAGATTTTGTCCCTGCTACGTACATACCAACATTACTAATCTGTTTCTCTCCCACAAAAAGAGTAGTCTATACAATCATAAGTTGAAGAATTAGATATGTGGATAATTTACTATTCATTAGGGCTAAAAGAATCTAAGTCTAAATGCTATTGCTAGTACTATCTTTGTTTCCATCATGCCCATATACTTCTTCATAAATTGCCTTTTGTTACTTCAACTTCTCAACTTTCACTTTTTGTGGATCTCATCAATTCCACCCAACCATGACTTTCTGGGGCTTCCCCTTGTGTGTATTTGTTTTGTGATACAAATCTCATTTATTCTCTCTGTGACCAAACCACAATATATTTCTTTCATGCTGGCTTCTTGCTCCTCCATTTCATTGATATTCATTCAGCATCTATTAATTCTTGATCCTACCTTTTCTTATTTTACTATTCCCAATGTATGTATGTATATGTGTGTGTATGTAAGTGTGTGTGTGTATTTATTTTGCTTCTCCTGTCATTTCTCTAAAACTGTCAAGTTCATTTATTAAACCTGAAATTGCATTACGGCATGTACCTATTTTGGTGTACAGATATGTCTTCTGATATGTGTACTTACAGTTCAATTTGCCTAAACTATATTGACCATTCCCACTAAGATAATGCACTTTGTGCATTATTTTTATGCAAGCCAGTACAATATACTTTTTTAAAAAACAAGAAATGAGAGCTGCTATGAAAAAATTAAAAGAACTGTGAATTCAAATGATAATCAAACTTCAGCTTGTACATTGGCTAAAATATACAACATTAAGTAAATTAGTATTTAACATTAATTATATTTCTTCTCGCCAATGCTAAAAGTGCAATTGCTGGCCATGCTTGGGGGAGAAAAACAGATACTTTTTCTCAATGGAGATAATTGGCTACTGTATGTTTAGTCGTGCACATTTAATAAAATATGAATAAATATATAAGCTGTAGTATAAACTATATTTGATTAAATATTTGATCAAATAACCTCCTGAGTAACTAAAGAAGCCAGGAAACTTTTTAATAAACATTTTAGGGCTACATTGCAATCAGGAACCAATAGATAGCTGTTTCAAACAAAAATCAAGATACTAAGAGAGTGACGTTATCTTCCCAGACCAAACTCTTAACTCGAAGCCATGATTTCCAAATGAAATTCATTGAAAACTGTAATTAGCAGATAGCTTCATTTATTTGCCAGCTTGTCCAAAGGTGAATCAAAATGCCTAGGCTTGTTGCAAAAAAGGACATTCACACATTTGACTCTGTGTGTGTGTGTGTGTGTGTGTGTGTGTGTGTGTGTGTGTGTGTGTCTGGGGGGGAGGGAATTGAACTTTGATGTTAAACACTTAGTCCAATTATTTCTATTGAAAACAGAACTGTGTAAGTTTGTTACTATATCCTAATTCTTATTTCAGCAGACTTCCTCAAACTGCACTCCCAGGTTAATTAGAGGGCCAACTGCTATGCTGGGCAGGAATTGTGGAAGCTGCTGTTCCAACAGATCTGAGAGAGCCTTATAGCACATATTAGATTACTGGGAGTAAAATGTACAGTTTTTATGCTTATTTTATCTAGGTTAACATTTTGGTTTAAAATAATGCCTTGGAAAGTATTGGGGAGTTGGAGCTTAAAGGAAGAGAATCCGTGCATACCCCCCAAAAACCCATCTCAGTTATCTCAATCATACAATGATTATTTGATGCTAGTTTTTCAGCTAGTGCAATCTGTTTTCTTTAATAGAAAAATCATCTTGACAGAACTCCTGCATTGCATTTCTTAAATATATTCTTAAATATAACTTCTTGTGTAGTTGACTCTCTTATAATTTTTTTAAATGGGGAAACAATGATAATTTTTAAATAGCCTCATTTTAAAGGTTTTGAAGACATTGAAGTTCCATTAGCTACTATTTTTACACAAGTTACCAATTTGTCAAGTACAAAACAGGGGTGGGGAGAGAAAAACCTATGTTTAGAATTAAGGAACAAGAAGTTGTTCTTTTGTTTTCAGTACAGAGTTCACTCATACAACAGCACCACTCTCAGTTATCTTCATATTATCAACCTAATTTAACTGGCATGGTAGCTTTCAGCACTGTTGTGGTCAAACTATTGGGAATCAGAAGCTCTTGTTGACAGATCACAACTCATTCGGAGAACTACCAGTCAATCCTATTATTTCAGGAAGTTTAAAAGTATCCCAGAACCACTCCCATGTCAGTTTAATACTTTAAACTTTAGGGAAACATGAATTGACTCAAAGCATTTCAGAGCTTTTCCTTAAGAAGGCTGAAACTGCTCTAGTTTTCAAGCAGTGAGCAGCGTGGAAAAATATCCCACGATAATGGAACTAACATGAAAGGTGGATTATAAATAAAAAAGGATAAATCATTCAAGAGCACAGAATCCAAAACATCTTAAAGTTTCAAAGTCCCTCATTTCTACCCATTTCTCTCTCCTTTGAATGTTAGTCAGAACAACCCTTATCTGGAAGCTATTTATATATTATCAAGAAAAGGACATGCTTTAATACACCCCATGCCAAAGGGGATGTACTTTATAGACACCAAAATGTAGAAATTGTTGTAATTAAATAGAAATATAATACATGCCATCTTTATAGAGAAGATTATGAGCAAGTGACCGGTTAATAATAATAATAAAGTTGGAAGGGACCTTAGAGATCATCTAGTCCAACCCCCTGCTGAGGCAGGAAATCTTATACCATTTCAGACAAATGGCTGTCCAGTCTCTTCTTAAAAACTTCCAGTGTTGGAACATTCACAGCTTCTGGAGGCAGGTTATTCCACTGATTAATTGTTCTAACTGTCAGAAACAGTTTGTGTCCAAGTACTTTTTGGTGCCTAGCTAGGACCTTAAACTTCCTTTACTCCTCTTGAAAGGGTCCAGTCTAAATTTCTAAGGAGTATATTCCAGTATGCCCTTGAGTTCTAAATGTACTATTAAGGAGGGAGGCAGGGCCATCTTAAATTGAAACACGTACATAAACCTATATTGTAGCATATTATCTGAACTTACGCTTTTTTCCCACAGGTTTGAGTTATTCTTTTTTTTAAGGACAATTACAAATCAATATAGTATATAGATCTATCTCATAAAAACTTCAGTCTCTCAGCTTTTCACAGAGGTGTTCCTAATCATGGGTTCTGAGTATGTACTCAGTGCATTGAATCAACCTATCAGAGACCTGGAAATGCAACAAGATCAACCTGCTCTACTTTAAGAACATTTGAAGAACAGTATATTCCTTTTACAAACCAGTGAGATACAGCACTTAACTGTTTCTAAAAACCAAAGAGCACTTATTTTAGCACGCTTCAATGCTCTCCAGGCAGCAGCTTTTGAGAGTTGATAGAAAAGTCCCCTAACAGCTAAGATTTTGCTTCTGTGGCCAAGGGGCACTTGAAACAGCAATTCTTGCTATACTGTATCCTAAATAAGGGCTCAAAGACCTACCCTATAACTTATCTGTAAAAAAACCCCTGGAAATTCCTTTTTATGTTGTTGTTGTCAGATCAGTATGATTAGTCTCCTTGAACACAACTAAATGTTGCTATACTCTCTATAAAATTAGGCAGACTTTTATTATCCATTGACAAATCCAGCACCAATTACAAAAATCATTGATATTCATACCCCACATATGCAAATGACAGGTATATCTGCCTATTCAATCTCCTGCCCAGGAGCTAACTGTAATGGTGGGGACCTACAAAGCTTCTGTTCTCTTTTATTTTCTTTAAATTTGACCTGAGAGTCCTTTCAGGTTGGTAGCACCTAAATGCTAGAAGTCCAAAAACACTGTTGAAGCCTTTATCCTCAAGAAAGGAAATATGAACAAACAGTGGAAAAAGAAGCTTGCAAATGTAGTGGTAAATTTCATGAATGATGCAGGATGATTATATTTGAACACTGGGTGCTATCTAACAAAATGAAATTCAATGGTGAAAAAAGTAAGGTTTAGGCAAGAAAAACCAAATGTACAGGTATAGTATAGGGGGTACCTTGCTCAATAGTAGTAACTGTGAGAGGGACCTCGGAGTCCTAGTGGACAATCACTTAAATATGAGCCAGCAGTGTGCTGCAGCTGCCAAAAAAGCCAACACAGTGCTAGTCTGCATTAACAGAGGGATAGAATCAAGATCACGAGAAGTATTAATACCACTTTACAATGCCTTGGTAAAGCTACACTTAGAATACTGCATCCAATTTTGGTCACCATGATATAAAAAAGATGTTGAGACTCTTTCTAGAGTACAGAGTACAGAGAAGAGCAACAAAGATGATTAGGGGATTGGAGGTTAAAACATATAAGGAAAGGTTGATGGAATTGGGTATGTCTAGTTTAATGAAGAGAAGGACGAGGGGGGACATGATAGCAGTGTTCCAATATCTCAGGGGCTGCCACAAAAAAGAAGGACTCAAGCTATTTTCCAAAGCGCCTGAAGGCAGGACAAGAAGCAACGATGGAAACTAACCAAAGAGAGAAGCAACCTAGAACTAAGGAGAAACTTCCTGACAGTTAGAACAATTAACCAGTGGAACAACCTGCCTCCAGAAGCGGTGAATGCTCCAACACTGGAAGTTTTAAAGAAGAAACTGGACAGCCATTTGTCTGAAATGGTATAGGGTTACCTGCCTGAGCAGGGGTTTGGACTAGATGACCTCCAAGGTTCCTTCTAACTTTTTTTATTACTATTATTATTATTATTATTATTATTATTATTAAAACCCATGGTAGGACCCTTGGACTGGATAGCTTTTCAAAGGGGAGACAGTTCTCAGACATCTTTCAGAAGGTTGTATGGCTTCTATTTTTTTAAAGGAAGAATATACCTGTAACTATATAACAAGTTCCTACAGAAAAATGCATAATAATTACAAAGACTAAAATAAGGATATTCATAACTATAAAGAAAATACATTGGCTGCAATGTATTCTGAAAGATTTCAATGAAAAGTTGATAAATATTTTTATATAAACTTAATTATCATCCATTTGTTGAGCTTCAAAAAATAAAAAAAAATTCTAGCCATATTAACTCCCATATTTTCCAATATTAACTATAAATTTAATTCTGACTTTTGCTTTCCATTGCTCTGCTATTAATGTTTTAGCTACTCTTAGTACAATTAATATACAGTACCCTATAAATCTACAAATTCTGTATTTATAAATAACATTAGAATACCCCAGCAATTGACAACTTGTCCTTTGTTAATCATTGTATGGCATTATTCCAAAATAAATTAGTTTATATATGATTAAAGTATGAAGAAATCTGCTTTAAATGAAATCTCCAACAATAACATGATAATTAAGATACATTTCATTTAACATATATAGTATTAAATAAATAGCTTTACATACATTTTTTAAGGTTTGCATTTAAAATATTAACTGGAGACATGTTCTACTTGTAAAGCGAGACATGAAACCACTCAGCCTCCATGTGTCGTACTTACTTCTTATATTTAACATAAATACTATAGTATAGTTGTTGGTTTCAGTTGTAATGAATAGTGTGTGATTTCCCCCTTGGGTTTCTTTGATTTGTGGGAACTCCACTGAAATGATATGCCTGTTGAGACAGAAAACAAGACTTCCTTTATGAAATAATTATGAAAAAAAACCTTTAGTGTGAGGAAGTAGGCCAAAACAACAAGCAAAAAGGAAACAAAATCTTGCATATGGACCAGATAAACCATTTCATGAATCACCTACAGAATTAGGTTAGCTAGAATGACGGTTCTTCTCTACTTAGACTTCTCTGGAAGTTTTTGAAATCTCCTACAGCTCCAAACTATAGTGGCTTCCTGCTTTTAGCTTTAATACACAACTTCATGCAGAAAGATTGGCAGTCTGACATAAGCAGTATAGTTCTAACTGAAGGTTAGAACTTAATGAGTCCTACTTCTGTGAATTTTAGCAAATAATTTAAGGTGATTTGTCAGAGTTTAGACACCACATTCCTTAACTCATTTCAAGTTTCTTATTTTATTTGCAGTCCATTGGTAGAGCTAATATATAGTTGGGGCTTCTCCTTCCCCTCCCTTCCTTTCCATTTTATCTAGCAACTGACCCAGGTTCAACCAGTGAACGTAGCTGACTGAGAGGTAAATCTAAGTCTCTCTCTTCCTATCTAGCAGCATCACTTTTAAGATATGATCTTTGAGAAGCTCTCCCAGTGGAATACAGCAATAGGCTAAATGGCATAACTTTAGAGTTAAAAGGCATTACTTTTTATTTATAACATTTATGTAGCATCCATCTTCTAACAAATCCCAATCAAAATTGTATTTATAAATTGGGAAAACATCTAGTCGTATAAATATTTTGTGAGAATTCCCCAATTGTATTCTGGAGAAGGAAATTTGACTTCCAATTTCTTCCATTAAGCTTCTGAAACCCTCTTCCAGCCATGCAGCTTTGATGTCAGAGAAGAAAAGGTGCATATGAAACCTGGGAATTAGAATGTTGCATTGAAAGATTAGGTGAGGATTTGGCTCCATGAGAATCTAAAGCTTTCCTGTTCTTCATTTCTGCCCAATCTAATAGGAATTAAGGGAGAGTCAGTTGCTTGAGTAGGATATTAGGGATACGTCCCTCCTTTTCACTCCCTGATGAAGCATAGTGCTCTGTCTTCAATTTTGCTCCGTAAGAATGAATTAGGACAAGTATAGGGAAGAGAGTATTATGAAAAGTTAAGAAGGGTGACTGTTAAGTGCTGAATATTAAAGCTATACGTGAAAGGGAATGATGCAAGAGAATTTTGGACTACAGTACAGTGATTAGTGTTACTTCAAAAGAGGCAAATAACCATGCAGCTATTCACATCTTTAAAAATTCGAATTACTAAGAAGAAAATTCATGTGCACAAAAAATTGCAATTATTCATTTGAGCTTTTGCTGGAGATTCATGTGAAGTGGAACAAATATTACTTTTTGCTCTTTTTGTTTTTAATGTGCTTTGTTTGTTCTTTGCTTACCGGTTCTCCAAATCCAGAGAGGAATTACATTTTTTCCAGATCTCTTTAAAAACCCAGTGGCAGACGATGTTCTCTGAAATATTTAATACTGCTTTTAATCTGACATTTTCAAGCACACCAACTTCTACCACTTTTGTTGTTTTGTAGATATTCTCAGTGTTTTGAGTATTCAGGGAACACTGGAGGTCTTCAACATTATCTTGCATCTGCTTTGTAAAAGATAGAAAATACATGTTTACTGTGTTGCACCATTTGTTTACTGTGATGCACATCTGTCTTGCTTTTAGAGAAACAACATTGAGAGATAGTTTGTATGCAGCTTGTGCTATACAGTTCTCTATAAAAGATCTGGGAAGCTACTACCAATAAAGGTAGCATTTCCCTTCTATCTTTCCCAAATAAATGAGTCCATTCCCTATCTCTCTTTGTCCTCCCTCCTTATTCACAGAAAGAGATAAAGAGGTTACACAGTTTGATTAGCAAATGAAGGCTGAGGACACCTTTTGGGGTGAATGCTGTGAGAAAAAAACCCTTGGAGAAGACATTTTGAAGTAGGGTAATAATCTGAATTTGTACCAAGTAATTTCACATGCTTAATTTATTGGAATATGCAAACAAATCAAATTACTCCAATTCTAAACTAGATATAGTTTTCCATCAAAGGCACCTCTTGCATCTTTTGAATACAACATTGCCGTTATCAGGATACTCAGCCTGGAAAACAGCCAGATCTTAGTCTTCATAGTTTGAAAAAATGCTGTCTATCACATTATGCCTGTTAAGCTGAGCCTTCCTAAGGATTTTTTTTCCGTATGTTTGCCATAGTTTGTAAAAACACAGAAAATGAATATGTAAAGCACAATATCACTACGTTTTGAAATAGGAATTATGAAACTACTGTAGCTTTACTTCCTTTCAGTTTGGGGCAGTATGGGGTTGATAGATATCAAATTTAAATTATGGAGTGAAAATGTTTCTAGCTTGGTTTGACTTTAAAAACACAAAACCTTCCTTCAGATACTGACATATTTTTATTATTAATTTAACAATCTAATTTTGCATGAAAGGAAAACCTTCTTGTAACAGCTGCATTCAGTCATCCAAACTACTTTTTGCCCATTACTGATAGTAAATCAAAGCAATTTAAATCAGTAAGTCAAAAGGCAAAATCAGTGTTGAAATTAGAGGTGTAGTATAGATAGCCCAGGATCCAAAAAACACTTCAACACCCCTCCTCCCTTGCAAATCTAGGAATCATTCTCAAAACTTCACCAAAATTTGTCACTAAATTGTAATTTATAGTGTGACAGAAAAAAGAAATTATTAAATAAACCAGGAACAGTAATCATGTTACATGCATACAAGTATTTTAATTTATATTTTAATTAAAGTAAGTAATTTTTTTATTTTGCTTGAATTCTATTCATCATGGAAGTATAGCTGACAAAGTGTCACTCAAAGCCATGTATGATACTCATTAAGAAAAGGGTTGAGCATACCAAAGTTAAATCAAATTCCTCATTGATATGTCTTAATATACAGTAGTTACTTGCAATGCTACATATTTGACTACCACATGATGTAAATATACTACTAGACCTACTACTAATATGAACAACGAGTCTAGATCAGGGGTGTCAAGCTCGCCACATCATGTGATGTGTCGCGACGTATCGCGACTTTTTCCCCATTGCCAGAGCTGGGGTGGGCTCAGTTTCGGTAGCACACATCTGACCCACAGGCTGGCAGTTTGACACCCCTGGTCTAGAGTGACCAAAAATACTGATTATGCAGTACACACGGGGGATTATGATGAAGGAGATGGCAATAAGGACAAAGGAGTTATACAGAAGAGCCAAGTCAGGACATGAGGATAGACAGTTAGCAAAGTATGGCAGAAAGAAAGAACAAAAGACTGAAAGAGTTTAGGAAGAGGAACACCTGAAACATGACATAAATGTGGAAGGAAAAAGGAAGGTGTAATTTCTATTTTAGCATGGATAAGCAAGCAAAGTATTTCACACAAGCTAAAGAGTTTGAAGAGGCAGAGCAAACCTTAATATAGCATAAATTTTAAGATGTAAAATTTATGATTTCCTGAACTACTGTGACTCAGTAGACCATGCAGTTTTATTTTCAGCAAACAAGAGGAAAAGAACATAAATTTATGGAGGATGAAGTCAAACAACACTTCTGTTCTCTTCCACATGTATTTAGCCATATTAGACCATAGCTAAGATGCTGAATGGAGAGATTCCCAAAGGTGTTTTTTCTAAAAGGCAACTGGACTTTCTTGTGTTTTTTTTTCTTAGAAAATGTTTGCTTCTCATCCAAAAAGCTAAACATTTTTTAAAAAAAAAAAAGAAAAAAGATAAAAGTTGAGTTGCCTTTAGGAATAAAGCATCTTTGGGGTGCTTGGAGAGTATAAGTTGGAGATATTCCTGGGAGACATGAAAAAAATATGTTAAGACTTCCGGTTTGCCATTGAGGCCACTGCAGCCGCTGGAAGGCAACCTCCGTCTTCTGTGTTCGATTTCGTTCCACTGGGGGACCCTGGAAAGGGTCAAAAGTCTCCCTGTAGGGGCAATGAGCAAGGAGGGGACCCCCGCTTGATTGTGGGAGGGCAGCAGCCCTTCCGCTTAATCCAGGGCAGCCCTCCAAACTGGCGGAGGAAAGACTGGCCATAGCAATATGGCTTGTCACTAAGCTGCTGACAGCCAAAGTCAAACTTACCATTAAGCACTTCTAAAGCAATGTAGATGAAATTGGGTGAGATCTGATCTTCTCTTTAAGATTTTAAGTATTTTTCTTTTCCTGTAAAAGCTGCCCAAAGTATTTTTTCCCCCTGTGAGGAGAGAGGGAAGGGCATTTCTGCCCCACACTCTAAGAACAGTGGCGACTGACTACCCAGGGGAGTTAAAGCACTATAAGAACAATTTCAATCTAATAGGATTTATATGTTTATGAAATTTGGGGACCAAATGTTTTCTTATTTTTACTGGAGACTTTTGTTTTTATCTACAAAGAAGAAATAAAACTGGAAAAAGGATTATAAAAACTTTGGACTTAAAAAACCTTAAATGGCATCGGTGACATCTTGTGGTGAAGTATGGTATTACAACTTGTTATTGCCTAAAAGAGACTTGGCTTGAAGCCCAGACTTCAGATAAAACGCTTTCGACCTTGATAGATACCACCTGTGAGAAATTCAGCTGTAAAGAGAATTTCTGAGTGGCATAATTGGCTTGTTTGAACTATGAATGTAAACCTTTACTGACTTTCAGAACTATATGTGGGGAACTGATTTCCTATTTCTTTATATGAGAAACATTTGTTATTACATGAGATGATGAAATACCTTGGACTATAAAATCTTACTTGACCAATGATTTCTACTATAAAGACTACCTATAATACATGAAATAAAGGTCCCGTACCTAGTTATAAAATCAGTTTTAACGTCTGATTTTAAAGTCTTCAACCTAAACACTATTAAGAGAATATGGATGAAGACCAGGAAAAGATCCTTTCCATGTTGAAAGCAATACATGAAACCATTCTTTCAGCTTGTGACAAAATAAGATACAACATAAAAAAACAAGATGCCAGCTTTGATATACAAGCCCAAATTTTGACTACAACCAAAGAACTAACAATACAGAAGATAACAGAAGAAGTGGAACAATCAAATACTAAGACAGAGGACTCAATTGACCAACAAATACAGTTAATGGAAAATCCAGAAAAGGGAGTGACAATACTGAAAATGGAAAAGACTTTCTATATAAATCAGAAGAAATTTGAGGAGAAAGAACAACAGATTGAATGGAAATAAATATATCAGGACAATCATAGGAAATTGAAAAAGTAGGGAGACGATCTAATGAACACAAATGAACTAGCCCTTCCAAAAAAATGGCAACTAAATGGTCTCTCTTATTTCAAATAATATATACAATAATAGAAGGAGATCTATTTCATGATTTAAAAGCACTGACATGGAAAGCTAGTTGGCAAAGGAAGAAAGCCAGAATAAAGCTAAAGAAAATTGGGGCTTTGATTTATTAGAGGAGATTTCATATTACTAATTAGAAGGTTAAAAGGAGAAGTTGAGATAAGGGCAATTTTGCTCATTTAATTTAAAATATTTGGAAATCAGTTGAAAATAAGGATTCTATTTGTTTAATATTTAAAAATTAAACCCAAAGGAAAAATTATGAATATGTTTGATTTATTGATTAACTCAGACAATATGTATGATTTATTGAAGGGGATACTGTATTATTAATTAGAAGATTTAATATGGTGGGAAACTTTTAGAAATAGAACAACAAGACTATACTCAAATAGATAAGATGTGTATTTCGAATATTAGATTTTGTTATTAATTGAGATAAGGGAAAGTTTTGTTACCTAAAGCCTGGAAATTATAAATATCAAATGTTAAATTTCAATATTGATGAAAAACTAAAAATTGGGAAAAAACCAATAAAAGGACATTGATTGTCTATAAAGATTGAATGTAAAAGTAATTAAAATATATATAAACTAAAAATTTATTGATACATGTAATAAGGATGTTTTTACTTAGTTGGTATAATAAGAACTGTATTAATTTAAATACGAGATAGTAGATATTAAGGAAAAAAGAGAGGAAATATTTGATGTTGTTACTTGAGATTTGCACTAAAGATTTTTGTACGTTATTGAATTATTGATTAACCCAGCCACCATGTTGCTTTTCAAATACCTAAATGTAAAATTAGAAAACTAATAAAATATTATTAAAAATATGTTAAGAGGGGATAATATCACAAATGGAAAATGGTTTAGAGTCTAGACAATAGAGAGACAGTTTGGTGAAGCGGTTAAGGCACCTTATTAGAAACCTGGAGATGGTGAATTTTAGTCCTGAAGCCAGGTTGGGGACCTGGGGACCTTTAGAAACCACTTTCAAAACTTTGTCAAGGAAACTGCATTGTTTAAGTTGTTTAGCAGTCATTAGGAGTCAACAGTGACTTGAAGAGACACATATGCATAGAAATTTTAACCACAGGCAAGGAAGTCAGGAAGCAAAAGGGGGCAATAAGTATTAATAGTGGAATATCATATGTTTGAAAAAGGGAAGATGAAGATTGCTCAGAAGAAAGACCACAAGACAAGAGTGGAAACAGAACAGGTATCAATGGGGAAAAGATGAAAGAATATCAGCCTTACAGTTAAGATGAACTATTTTTGTAACTTGCTTCAATGGCTGAAAAGATAATTGAATGCATAGTTTACTATAGGACTTCATAAACTATGATTATACTTCAAAGGTCAGCACTCCAGACAGCTGCCTGATTATAAAACCAGTTCAGGCTCATAGAATTAAAGATCTGGACAAAAATGAAATTCCATATTATAAAGATAAAATAAAACCCTGACATCCAGTTTTATAATACTTTGACAGGTAGTAGCAACAGCCATCATTGTTTGAGCTTCATTCACAGAAAAAGAGTAGTGAAAAGGGAAAATGCAAAACCATGTTTATAAGTTAGCAAAGAAATAAGTATTTTGAAAGGGATGAGGTGGGGACTAGCAGATCTCAGTTCCATAGACGGTCATTATGTAAATGTAAATTATGTAAATGGCTTCAAAGCCAACAAGCATCCCACCAAGTATCAATTCACTTGGAAGGGAAGATGAAGCCTCATGTTAAATTCTTCAATGTTTCTGAAATGTTTACATTAGCAATGGGCAATCAACTATTGTGTATGACTTCATTCTTGTCTGTAGTAAAGATTCAAATCTAACTGGGCCCTGTCTGAAAGTTTTCAACCAAATCTAATTGCAGAGTAAAAAATAAGTCGTGAAAGGAAGCCTGGAATTTACTCTAAATCCAGGTTGTGAAGCCAGACAATTTGAGTATTTGTTCATTACACCAATGCTTAAGAATCAAGAGTTAGCACAGTAGAAATTATCTCTCTGGCAACCCATTAATCATTGGTCTCAACATCTTCTGTGTTAGAGCCATGGGCAAGCCAGAAAGGCCAGCCAAAGGGACAGAATCTCCTGGTGGCAAATGGTTCTGGTATATACAGCGAAAAATTGTATGGAGCTGGTATTTGTGAAATTGAAATTGAAATTGCTTTGGTGGGTTTGGAAGCCAGAAGACACAGAGAGAAACGCTGGTGGCAGAAGAAGATATCATCCAAAACATTTTAAAACAGCATTTCTCTACCTAAGCCTCAAGAAGGTAGAGTCTACATCCAATGTAGTAATGCAAAGAATTCTGATTACAGGGTACTCCTTGACTTACAACTATTAATTTAGTGACTGTTTGAAGTTACAATGGCATTAAAAAACTGACTTATGACCAGTTTGCCTACTTACGACCATTATAGCAGTTTCATGGTCACATGATCAAAACTCAGGTGCTTGGCAACTGGTATGTATTTATGACACTGTTCTAACATGACCCTGTTGCATTGTTTTTGGGTCATGTGATCACCATTTGTAATCTTCCCAGCAGGCTTCCAACAAGCAAAGTCAATGAGAGAGGCCAGATTCGCTTAACAACATGATTCAACTTAATCACTTAACAACTGCAGTGATTCGCTTAGCAACTGTGGCAAAAAGATTGTAAAATAGGACAAAACGTAACGACTGCCTCACTTAGCAATGGAAATGTTGGGCTCAATTGTGGTTGTAAATTGAGGATAGTATTTCATCTGGGAAAGGTGCAGGAACAGGCAATGAAAATATCGAAGGACTGGATAATCCTCACAATGAATAAAAATTGATGGTTAGCTTACTGAACAATTGGCTGAGTGGTTGAGGAAGATATGTATTCTATGGAGAAAGTAGAGAGGAAGAAGACATACACTTTGCTCATAATGCTAGAAACCAGGATCAATGAAACACATGTCCGACACACATGAAAGCAGGAAGGAATGTCTGTAATTAATGAATGGAAATCATGTAAGATTTCCATTCATTAATTACAGACATTCCTTACAATGCCCAATAGATAGCTTTAAGGTGGCTTAAACTTGTTTCACACTGTATAATACAGTAGTTCTTTAAGTGGCTAGCAACTTTGGTTGAGAATGTTATATTATATTCCATAACAGAGACACACTGTTTTCAGTATCAGATAATGAAGAACTCAAACAGGAAAATGCTACTGAGCTCATCCTGTGGCACAGAATTATAGTCCAATTGAGTATTTTTATACTCTTGTTTTCCTTTACCTTGAGAGAAGGTGAAAACTCCCAATTTCTTGAAGCATTGTTGTGTTGCTTGATTAAAAAGCAAGTTATCTCAAATGTAGTTTGGCTTATCACACCAGTGGATGCCACTGTAAGAATCAGAGCTGCCAAAAAGGAAAACAAAAAATGTTGAGTGAAATCAAAAAGTAAATGTGCTGAATATTTCTTTTTCATCCCACTGTCTTTTTTTTCCATTCAATTGTACCTCTCAACTAGTAAGTTCCTCGCTAAGTAAAATAGAACATAAAACATGAATAATAGGGATGGAAGGGATCTTGGAGGTCTTCTAGTTCAGTGGTTCTTAACCTCTTTGAACGAATCGCCCCCTTGAGCCAATGAGGAAGTTGTCATCGCCCCCCTCCCCCAACATAACCTCTCAATCACAACATAGGAAATAATTCTTCAATTTATGCAAACACTTTTTTTCTTTTCTTTAAAATTGTCATCTGGACATATTGATGCAAACAATTTATTTCCAGTCTTTTTCCCAAATCTCAACTGTGTGAAAAATTTTGGTGCCACCCATCACTTTATCCACTAATAGCGAGCGATCTGATGTTTTTGTACGACAGATATACTGTGATTCACTGTACGAAAAAGTCTCGAAAGTGTCCCCAAAACTTCTCGCTCCATTGCCCCCATATCACCCTCTTTTCGTTCCTTCGCCCCACTGAAAAACAAAATCGCCCCCTGGGGAGCGATATCTTCCAGGTTAAGAACCACTGTTCTAGTTAACCCCCTTGCTCAAGAAGGAGACCCTATACCATTCTGGACAAATGGCTGTCCAGTCTCTTCTTGAAAATCTCCAGTGATGTAAGGAGGTAAGACATTTCACTGATTAATTGTTCTCAATGTCAGGACATTTTTCCTTAGTTCCAGGTTGGATCTGTCTTTAATGAATTTCTATCCACTACTTCTTGTCTTACCCTCAGGTACTTTGGAGAATAGGTCAACTCCCTGTTCTCTGTGACAATCCATCAAGTACTAGAAGACTGCTTTCATATCTCCCCTATTCCTTCTTTCTGTTAAATTAGGCATACCTAATTCCCTCAATTATTCATCATATGGTTTAGCTTCCAGACCCCTTATCTTTTTGTTATTCTCTGCCCTCTTTCTAGAGTCTCAATATCTTTTCTGTATTGTGATGACCAGAACAGTGTTCAAGTCTGTCAAGATGCTTCTGAATCTTGAGTCTATTTCTAAATGTTAGCTATTCCCCCCAGTTTAGTGTCATCTGCAAATCTGATGAATTCCCCTTCTATGCCCTCATCTAGATTATTTAGGAAGATGCTGAAGATTACTGGGCCATCTATATATCTCTATCGCTATCATCTCTCTAATGTTACTCACTTAAATATAGATGCCCCAAATGTCAATTCTATTTTGTTTTCAATAGTGGCGAATATCTTTAGCTCGATTATAGGATGAGGGTGAAGGTTCGTTCTCTGAGCCTGTGGGTTGGTTTCTGAACGTTTTGTTACCAGGCTAGGTGACATCTTCAGCTGAGTTTAGGGGATGTCAGAGTCAGTGACAGTGTCAATCACACTGATACTGACATCCCCTAAACTCAGCTGAAGATGTTGCCTAGCCTGGTAACAAAACATTCAGAAACCAATCCACAAGCTCTGATAATGAACCTTCACTCTCATCCTATTTTGTATATTGGCCACTGGGTGAAGTGGAATTTAGCATTTTGGAAATGTCTCCTTGGTTGGCAAGGATCAAAGCCAGAATCAATGGAAAACTTGTCCATTTCTTAAGATAGAATATATATATAATATGGTGTTTCAGCCTGGATGAATGAAATAGAAGGATCAGTGTTGAAGCAGTAGATGCAATAAAAGATAAGCCAGCCTTCACTGTGAATATAAAACACAGAAATTAAGCTAAGAGTAAAGAAAGGCACTACAAACACAAAGCACAATGAATAGAGGAACAATTCAGTTTTAAACATTCAAGTCTCTTTTCCAGGCAGTATTTTGTTAATCTTTATAGTCAAAATTAAAATGAGATGCAGAGGAATATAAAAATATTGGGAAGTTAGTTTTTTAGCTGAAGGTAATTGCAAAGATTCTTAATGAAATATAGCAGCAAAGCTAGAAGCCAAATTTTAGCAACAGAAGAGGAAGGTAAATAACAAGGAGAATAATAAAATTGGATATTATATTCACATAAGTGAAAATTAAAATTGGAGAAACAGAAAATAGAATTAAGAGTAGCCTAGCCTACTAAGAAACTTTAGATTACAAATTCTACCATCCTTGATCATTAATAGTACTGCTAAATAGATAGGAATTGTACTGTGAAAAATTTGGAGGCTATCACTTTGGAGAAGGCTAAGAGAATTTATGAACTGAAGAAAGATATAGAAGAAAAATGAAATTAAGAATAATATACCAGTAGTAGATAAGGACAGGGAACACTCAGACTGTTAGGAATGAATAAAAAAAACACTGAAATCAAAGAAAATAAGAATAGGATTAAGTAGAAAAGTGTTCCAATATTTGAGGGGCTGTTACAAAGAAGAGGGGGTCAACTTATTTTCCAAAGCACCTGAAGGCAGGACAAGAAGCAATTATGGATGGAAACTTATCAAGGAGAGAACCAACCTAGAACTAAGGAGAAATTTCCTGACAATTAGAACAATTAATCAGTGGAACAACTTGCCTCCAGAAGTTTGTGGGTGTTACAACACAGCAGGTTTTTAAAGAAGAGATTGGTTAACCATTTGTCTGAAGTGGTACAAGGTTTGCTGCTAGAGCAGGGGGTGGACTAGAAGATCTCCAAGGTCCCTTCCAACTCTGTCATTCTGTTATTCTGTTTTTGTCTCACAAATGGAATTAAAGTTGAATGACAAATAAGAATGGAAAATGGCTAATGTTGTCAAAAAACAAGCACAAAATGATGGTATATTCCTGAACTAATATTTCTTTCCAGTATGCAAGACTGCAGGTGTGGTTGCCAATATTAGACCATCTTGAGAACAGATATAAATAAAAATAGTCCCCAAAGGATTATCTAGTATAGGACTGAAACTAGACAACACTTTAAAAAATAGGGAATGCATTTGTTTAACATGGCATAGAACAGTCTTTAAACCAGACGTTGTATGGGATAAAAGAGAGGCTGATAATTGTAAAAAAATGAAAGCTAAAAAACAACAAAAAGGATTGTTGTACAGTAAAAACAGATAAAAGTGTCTAAAGGTGCTTTTTCATTTACTTAACTGACATGGGCATCTTTATTCTCCTTTTAACTTTTCTAATTCCACAATGAAATGAATCTCAGAGAGTTTCAGATTAACTATGAATTGCTAGCTATGAATCCCAGAAGATTTAGTACATGTACTTCTATCTAACTCAGGGCTGGTCTGCGGGCCGGATGCATCATAGTGAAACCGTGCCCACCCCATTGCTGGCAATGGCAAAAAAGTCACAATACATCGTGACACATCACGTGACATTGCGAGTTTGACACCCCTGATCTAACTCAACCTCCACCTGGCCTGAGAAGACAGGAATCCAAATGTGCCTGAATTTATTTGACTTCTGATGCTGAATAAACATTTAGTTCAAAGTTGGGATTAATAGTGTTTATGTTTTCAGAGATGCGGCTGTCAGCTCTTTTTTGTGTGTGTTATTATTATAGAATGTTAGATGAGATTTCACCAACAATATCCACCACTGAATAATGTATTAATTCTAATAATTGAGGTTGATTCTGAATTACAAAATTATGGCTGAAGAATCTGGGTTAAGTTTTGCATTGGAGACTTGGGGAACCTGAAAGTTTACACATCAATTTGTGACATTTTCATTGGGTCTTAATAATGATTTTATTCAATTTTAGATTTGGGGGTCTTTTTTGATGGACTTAACAAAGCTACAATTTTATCACTAGGAACAATGTAATTCTGGCCACTAATATAGTATATAGAGGTTGACTTAAAAGATAATACCTTTTGTACAGTAGGGGCTTAAGATAGGTAGACTTCATACAGATAAACAATTGAGAAATAGCACTTCTTTTCTCATATTAACTGTCAAGAGTTCAAAGCTCAAGTTCATGTTAGGAAAAACTTATTGAGAAAAACAATGCTCAGAGTAGCTCAATAACTGAATCAATGACTAAACTTGAGAATACACAGCAACAGCAAAAAACTAGCAGTATATATTCACCACAGAAGATGAACAAATTCAACTAAAAATAGCTATTATATATATTATTATATATATATAAAACAGAGCAACACAAACTTAAGGCAATTAAATACAAGTTCTAAGGAAAAAAATAGATAAAAAACCAGACAAATTAGAAATGCTTGCAAACATATTGATTGTAATTTACATTTTGAGGTACAATGAGAAGAAAGGATATAATTCACAAGCAAGTGGATTCTTAATAATGTTTTTATGATTTTTTTCTCCTTTTCTTTTTTGTATATTAAAAATATACAATATACAAAAATATACAAAATAGATAGAATATATTCAGTTAGCCCTAATCATTTATTGGAATATTAGAAAATTACAAAAAACACATCTGTAAATCCCTTGTTTATGTGTCTAACTTTATTCCTTCCCTCTTTTTTTATTTTCCTTCTGTTTATATATTTCTATACATACCAGTATTGGGAAGTGATGGGATTTGAATCTCTTTGTAGATTCAAAGAGAAGCTAAAAAGTTATTATTACACTAAGCAAAGTCTGTTGGCATCCAGTGAATATTGGTTTATCTCAAAAAAGCTAAGCAGTACTTGACTCAGTTAATATTTGAGTGAGACAAGACATCACCCTGAAATTCCAGATTGTAAACTAAACTGGGAAGTAAAAAACATAAAAGAAGAAGAAGGAAGGGGAAAAAATTCTGGAAGAAAGCAACGAATAACTGCTTCTATATGATACTTCATGCTTCTATTCCTAGCACTTTTATACTATTGACAAATACCCCCCCCCATTTCTGGATATATTCATATACAGTAGTTATCAGGAGTCCAGTTAAACCTGAAGGAGTCTTTCCCTTTATCAGTTAGGCAAAGGACTGTGAAAAAAGACCTTCCAACTGTATGATGGTAAGACTCACAATAAGCTTTAACCATGAACAATCATAGTATTATGGCCGAGATCAACATTGCACTAATTTGTTTCATCTTTGCACACTCAGCCATTGTGGTTTGTAAACCATTAACTGTACCTTGTTATGATGTATAACCTAGCTTATTTCATAAACCATGGTTACAGCAAAATCTTATCTTAGAATGATGTATGTATGTATGTATGTATGTATGTATGTATGTATATCCAGCCAATGATTATGGGGCTATATGGAGTCGATTTTGGCAAAGAATAACCATTATCCATCCTCAGCCATATTTTATGGATTTCATTGAGCAAAATATTTCTCCAAGGTAAATTGATGCAGAACCAGTCTTAGAATGAGACATACATTATATTAAGACATAGTTTTAATAATATGATTTATTGAATAATTCATACAATATGCTAAATAAAAAAAACGTGATTTACAAAGGATAGTGGCATAATTCACACAAACAGAAAATCCCAATGCATTATGCACTCACAACTGAACCCTGCCATCTTTCATTCTAAGGAGAAGAATTCTGTCTTAGCTTCTCAATTTTTGCATTAATGTTATTCTTTGCTTTAGTTATGGCCTGTTCAAATTTAGAGAAACTAATAAATCTTATAGATGAAAGCAAAGTTACAGTATGCCATGTTTGTATAAATGCAGTCTGTTTTCTTTGTTTTAGCATCTCTTGATTGGTCCTTATGTAGACCTATTTGAGATCCAAGACATAAAAGAAGCAAAAAATAACCCAGGAAATCATAAAGAAACCAAGCAGTTCTGCTTGCACATGACATTAATTTACAGATGTAGACTGAATTTGCATATCACCCTGAAATGTAAGATTGGCTTAGCAGTAAATTCAATTGTTTCTAATTGAAGCCTCCACCCGTAAGTGCAGCTAACAAGAGTTACGTAGACAAACTTAACATGATATTTAAACCAAAGGCTCTGACTTTATCGACCCGAAAGAAATCAGAAGACAAACGCAGAGCTTGACCTCTTCATTCTGACTTTTTCCTAATGAATGAATCTAGGATCTTACATCTGCATATAGTGCTAAGACTGGCTATCAAGACACACACACAACTCATTAATTATGTGCTCTTCTAGCAAGTGTACTCTGATAGGTTTGTCAGTGTATTTAATGCTTTATATAATATGCAGGCTGGAATGTAAATGGTAAGCCAGTGATAAACCATAGATTCAAAATGGCTGTTCATTAAGTCTCTTTATACATTACACTAAGCCCCATATAAGTACCTTGGCTTTTCATAATGGATGAATCCAACTTTTAGTGAGAACAGAACAAACTTTAAAGCACAATAAATACTTGTGAAGCTGAAGATCTAGATATAAACTGTATAAACACAACTAAGAATCAAAGGAAATTGCATGATTTATAGGATTTTAAGTCTCTAACATATTTGACATTTAATTTAAAATAAGTTGCTGAAATCAACATGGGGAGAAAAAATATTTAAATTACAGGACAAATAAATAAAATGGTGAGCTTGAATGTTTGAATGTATAATGCATATAAAAAAGAGCAACTACAAAAAGACCTGCATTTTATTTTACAATGTATTGTAGTAGGAAATGTTGCTCCTGCTCCAGTTTTCCCTAACATTTTAATTGGACCTTGGGTTTTCAAACAGAAAAATTTTGTTTCAATAAGATATATTTCAGACTAGACAGATCAAAGATCAGTGAGGATCCTAAGCATGCTTGCTGGTGAAGTATCACATTGAATTCCATGGAATAGATGTACTCAGGGCTGTGTTGGATGAGAAATCATAAATCAAACCTTGACAATTTTAGAATTCAGCACTTAAAGAGTTTTGGGAATATGCTGCTGTATTATTGTAGAATGGCTGAACCATGCAAATTAAGAACCAAAGATAGCCCCAAAGACTAATAATGTGGATCAGCAAATAATGGCATAAAAGAGAATATATTAAGTCTAAGCTCTTATAAATCATCACACTTATCCTATCATTGTTACCAAGAATACTATTTCAGCCCTAGAGGCAAATATATTCACCTAAACTTGAAAAACATAATTTTACTACTTTCTTGCTAAAGGATATAAACAAGCAAAGTTAAGTTTCTAATATTACCAAAATTGTTCCTTGTAAGAAAGATAAAAAAGAGCTTAATTATGCTGTGGGTTCATTTACAGCTTACTGGACTTTCATTCAGGATCTATGGTTTTCCAGTAAGTATGGATATGAATAATATTAAACATATTACGCAAGATGCACAGAAACTTTGTGCTTTGTACAATTGTATAAAAAGGCAAGATAAAAAAGCACTAAAAATATGGTTTCACAGTTTTATGAATACAATCCCATCATATAACCTATGCAGTGAACTGATAGCCAAAGTTTTAGTTGTAGCTAAGCAACATATCTATCCACCAATACAATAATCATCCTTCTAATAAAGATCCATACTCATCCATCATCAAAATATATTAATTGTGTCCTTGACAAACAAGTACTCACATTTATTCTAAGAAAAGATTTCATTTACATTTGGATCTCTGTGCTTTCTAGTAGATTTCAAATCTCTCAGATCAGGAAAAAATTGATCTAAAAAATCCTTTCTCCTTGCTTATTTTAAGTCCATCAACAATTGTTACCCATCCTTCCGACATTTCTGAAGCTTCATACAAGCAGCCTGTCTTTTTAGGAAAGAGAAACAGAAAAGGGCACAAAAAGAACACCAAAACCAATGATGCATAGGGCAAAATCAAATAGAAATAAAGAGAAATGAGGCAAGAAAAAAAATCAGAGAGGGAGAGACTAAATAGAGAAAAAGGTGTAGGACAAATCTATAGAAAGAGAAGGAGGAAAATTGGGATCAGTAAGGCAAGAAGAGCCATGAACGCAGATGTCAGTGAGTACGCTTACCAAGCATCTGCAGCTGACTTTTGCTGACTGAGATACTTAAGTGTTGCCCTCTCATTGCAGCTGTTGGTGCAAGACTTCTTTGCTTGAGTGAAATGCTATTTCAAGAGCTCACAGTCTGTATGTGCAGGTGGTTCTCTCAGGAATCCGTCACAACCGCTTGGCCTTTCGACTGTAAAACCACTTCTTCAAATCTGAAAATCTGAGATAAATAGCTTTTGGAGGAGGGGTTTTGGGGCTCTTCCTCCAACAAAACAACAACAATAATAATAACATCAAATTTTAAAAAAAAACCACCCTACAATAGTTGACGTTAAACCACCAGCAAGGTGAACTATATCTTTCTGTAGTATTTAGTATGTGCTTTTCCTATCATTTTTGTGAGGATGAAAAGTTTTGATTAAAGCTCACTGGTGATTATATTTTTTCAGCACCCTCCCCTTTTATTTCAAGAAGTATTCACTGTTTAAGAATTAACCCAGGTCGAGGCCCCATTCTTTTTAGGAACAAACCTGTTGTGTTAAATCCTTATTCCAGTAGAGGGCTCTCAGACATTAGAATCATCAGGTTTATTGAGCTACATTTTAGAAAACTAATCAAATAGTGAGCTTTGTTGCTTCCAATTCAGACTCAATATCAAAACATGTCAGGTCCATGTCAATCACTAAAAAAAGGACACGGTAATTGCAAACAAAACACATGCTGTTATTTCAACATCAGCTTTTCTGAGGATAGCGCCTCCTTTTCTTCAGAGAACTGGTTCTTCTAATGATAACTCTTCTTAATGATAAATTACCAGCATGAATGCATCTAAGTCACATTGATTTTTTCATAATCCTGAAGTATATCAACATTATATATAAAACAATGATGCTAGGAAACATTCAAAATTCTTTGGATATATCAGAAAAAGTAAATTCAAACTTACTAATTTTTAAGTAATTTGAAAGGTTGTGATTCTTTCTAAAAGCCTGGAGTTCCCAGTTTGGGATGTCCTGCATGTCAACCATGTATCACACCATGCAAATATCACCTTTCAGAAAAGCTTCTAGGTTTGAGAACTCTCTGTCCCAGAAGGCCCTTATAGCTCTATCTCCCCAAATCCTCAGAAAGCTAGGAAAGATAATGATTAAATTCACATATTGCACTAAGGCAACAAAGTGGTTTGTTTGGTCTGAGGTTGGAATGATATGTGACTCCAGTCATTTCTAGCTTATTCTATAAATCATGCACCTTCCTAGAACTATCTATGATTCTCAAAGTACCCATGCTCTGTCTGTGTCAGTGCATGTACATGAGTAACGTGTGTGTGTGTGTGTGTGTGTGTGTGTGTGTGTGTGTGTGTGTGAGAGAGAGAGAGAGAGAGAGAGAGAGAGAGAGAGAGAGATATGTTCTAACCTTCTAGAAGTTAATTCATTCATTTCGCCTTTCAGCTTCTTCAATATTCTACCCATTAACTCTTGTTTTTCTGTTGTGGAATTTTAAAAAAATATGGCCATGGCAATGTCCTGATCTTACATGATGTTGAACCAGGCAATAATTATTTTTTCTGAAACTCTTCAAGTTGTTATTCGAACTATAATTCTTGGTATCCTTATCCAGATTGCTGGCTAAAAATCCTGGCACCTGTGATCTCACACACATCTGAAAGGCTTCAAGCAAATAAAGAATATATAAGCATATCTATGCAGTTCTCTGATAATCATTATTTGAATATCTGTTTTCTCATGAAACAGTTTTAATTATTATGGACAATTATTTTGAGTTAGTTATTTCAAAGTGCTTCTGTGCATTCTTGAGCTTTCTCTTTAGTAAGTCATGGGAAAGGAGAATGTTAAGTTTCCTGAAGATGGACTCCAGTACAAGTACGAAAGCTCAGAAGACAAAACCTGTGGTCCCGGTGATTGACCCAGATTGGATCCTGCAACATTATTTTGGGACATGCCATTCATATGACTGTTTCCTATATAAAACTAAAGCACAGTTACCTTTTAGAAAATGTTACAATAAATAGCTTGGATGTATGTTGCCTGTAAATAATATTGCCTGGGATATATATATGTGTAGCAGAGAGGGTGCTCTGAATCGGGGAGTTTATTATTTTTGGTCTTGGAGTGGAGGTATCCTATCCCAGGTGCATGTGGTATGTAATTTTCCTTCTGGACTCACGAGACTTGCTCAAGGAAGGGGGGCAGTTGTGGCTAGAAGGGCCTTTGCTGTTGTTTATGCCAGTTATTCCCTTCCTGGATAGGGAGGCCCTTTGCTCAGTCACACACATCCTGGTCATCTTCCATTTGGACTATTGCAATGCCCTCTATATGGGGCTACCTTTGAAAAGTATCTGGAAGCTTCAGCTGATATAGAATGCAAAATAATTTTGCACATCCCAAGGATGATGTAAGTAATGCCTTTGCTGTGGGAGCCACATGGGTGCCAGTTTGCTTCCTGGGCCACTTCAAGTTATTGTTTATTACCTTTAAAGCCCTACATGGCATGGGGCCTGATTATCTGTTGATCTGTCTTTGCTTCATTACATCAGCCCATCCCACCAGTCAGGTAAGGAAGGTATACTGCTGATGCCATCAGTTAGAGAATGGTGACTGATGGGGCCCTTTTTTATCCTTTGGAACATTCTTCCCTCAGAGGTGAAGCAGGTCCTCACTCTCCTGGCCTTTCAGGAATGCTTGAAGATTTGGTTTGCTTGGGACCCATAGAGAAACATGTAGCTGTGGGGCTGGTTAATGATCTCAAGGCCCTCCCTTGACTTTTTTAATTCTGAATTTTAAATTATTTTATTCTTATTCTTATTATTATTTAGCTTTTATTTTTTGTCTATTTGTTGATCTATAAAGATGGATGACGATATCTCAATGTGATATCTATCTCTATCTATCTATCTATCTATCTATCTATCTATCTATCTATCTATCTATCTATCTAATCTTCATAAACTTCAAAATCTACAGAAGCTCTGAGTGCCCCTTCAAACAAAGAAAGCCAGTTGGCTATACCTTTCAGTCTTAAATGTGGAATAGCTTTGCCAAGGAATCTCACCTGCCATCTATTTTATAAACATTTTAACTTCAAGACCTTTTTCAGTCAGAAGCCATTGATTGATTGAAACATGGGAAATAATCATAGTATTTGAAAACTTGTACTCATCTGATCTTGATTTATTGTATATTTGTGCCAATTTGGAGAGATAATATGATGCATTTTAGTATCGTATTATATATGGCTTAGGACCAGGTTATCTGAAGGACTGTCTTCTCCCAGTTACTGTACATCCACCTGATCCCTCTCCCAAGGATATATATCTGGTGAGACCCAGAAAAAAGGCCTTCTCCATGGTGGCTTTTGGAACATCATCCCCGCGGAGATTAGATTGGCCCTTAAATTGACACTCTTTCACAATGCCCTCAAAACCTGCTTTTGCCAACGGGTCTGGGGAACCCAGTAGGATGGAGTTCATCAAATGACTTATCTGATTGATTGTTGTTGCCAGAGGTTAGGTGGGTTATTGTTTTACTGGGTTTTATTGGGTTTTAATTTTTGTAAGCCACTCAAAGTTACTGAGAATGAGTGGGTGGCCACATAAATTTTCATAAACAAATAAACAAATAATTTTGTTGTTTTGCTCAAACTTAAAACTGATTTTCTAAGCCTACCCAATCTAGACGTGTGTTGTATTCATACAAGGTTGAACCAGGTTTTTCTTCTTCTTCTTGTGCCATATCCATTATCGGACGATGGTGATCATATTGGCAATCCTGTTTTTATCAGCAGCCTCACGAAAAAGTGCTGATGAGTTTTGTCCAAACCAGTCCCTTAGATTTTGAAACCATATGTTCTTCTTCTGCCTGGACCTCGTTTGCCTTCAATCTTTCTCTGGAAAGAGAAAGATAGAGTATGCTGTATTTTTCTGGGTGTCGCATCACATGTCCGAAATATTCTAATTTTTGTTTTTTAATTGTTTTGATGATTTCCCTTGGCTTTCCCAGGCGGCTGATCACCTCCTCAACCAGGTTGCACACAATAAATAGAAAAAGAAAAAGATATTTCTTCCTCGACAATATTGCTTTTCTGTTGATTTCATAGCTATAACATTTATAACAGCAACAGAGCAATGAAAATTGACAGTTGAACATTAAGGATTGTATTTCAGTAACTTTCCTCTTTTTTTATTCAGTAGTTTGGAATATGCAAGAATGTGAGGATGACAAACATTAATGTAATTAAAGAACTTTCCTGCATATTGGTTACTTCTTGGTTTATTGGGAAATACTTTATTTTTGAATTGGTTTTATCATTATTGATTTTATATTCTTCTTTCCAAAGGGTTTGTTTCTGAATTGATTAAATAATGGTAATTATTAATTATGTGTATAATTGATATGTTGGTTTTCCTTAATTATAGTTTATTTATTAATTTATTTGATGAACTGTTATTAATATATTATCTCATGAATGTATTTATATTGAGATATAACATTTAGAAAGGCATTACTGCATACATGTGCTAACTTTATACTGTATACATATGCAAACACACCCAGTACATTTTTCAAAAAGATGGCCAGATGTATTATCTTTTTGAGAATCCACTCAAGAGCTATCTTGGGCAAATATTTATAATTAAATCCACATGCTTTAAATGCACCAGCCTGAAAAACGGTATCCCAAGAAAGAATGATGGAGGGGGGAAAAAGATACTCAGCTTTTTCTTACTTGTTATTTCCTTATTTCAAAGGAGTATTTCCCCATTAATCTTTTTTACCCAGGTTTCCAAAATTACATTTACACCTCCCATATTTTTAAAATATATACAGTATATTAACTGATCCCTGCTGTTAAGAACTGTGGTTTGAAAATCCTATTTGTGGCGGGGAGGGGGAAGTTCTCAAGCAAAAGCAATGTTCAGAATGACCGTAGCAGCAAAGTTGTTTTTTCTTTAGTACTTTTAGTACT